ATTGTAAGCAATTAAAATGAATAGATAGTTGAGGGGAGGGGGCGGCTAGCGTTATAAATAATATCAATGCTCGATGGAAAGAGGGACTGGGAGTCAAATGATCCGAAAGTATAACTGATGTGGTCTTTATGGCGTGTTACAGGCACTGAACGGCTTCCTGCTCATTCTGACCTGCGACGGGGAGGTGTTCTTCGCCACTCACAGCATCGAAAGTTACCTTGGCTTCCACCAGGTGAGTCTCGGGGTCCTCGGCACGAACGCGCGAGATCCGACGGCAGGAGGCGAAGAGACGTGGAGGAGGAGGAGGAGGTGGGAGTGCGCGGGAGTCAGCCGACGGACTGTTTGCATGCGTGACCGATCTCATAGGCACTCAACACGTGTCGGTCACGCGAAATGCCGCTCGCATGCGCGCCCCCGAGCACGTGCTTTTCCACGTGAGATCCCGAGCGGGCCCCTACTCGGGACGGCCCCGTCACCGCTGTTTATACGCGGAGGTGAGCTCGGCCCGGGCGGAAGCGGCCGCCGGCCCCCTCCGCCGGCACAGTCTCCGGCACAAGATTCGCTTGTAGACCGGTGCTGGGAACACGGGGCTGCTTTACTCTCGGCGGTAACGCTGGCGGCAGCGACGCGCAACGCAACTCGCCTTCTTTTTTCTTATGCTCCATCTTAATTGTCATCTGCGCTCCTGCTCAAGGAGCTGTGGTTAGCCAAGATATAAGCTCGCCTCCCCGTGCCTTGCCTTTCTTATTTCCATTCGATAAACAACGAGTCCCGATGTATGCACGCCCGTGCGAAGGTCCATTTAATGCATCTGGCGCAAGTCAGAATACTTCAAGTTCGCAAAGAACCGAGAGAATATTTAACTTTTTTCTCGGTCCCTCTTCCCCTTTTACCACCGCGACTCTCAGCATAGCCTTGCAAAATCATCTATTTTTACATCGGAGTTAGTTTGTTTAACTCGCGGCCCCTCATTTTCCGAGGATCAACTGATCACGGGAATTAATTTCTCAGACAATTGAATTATGTGACAGGTTTTGACAATTAATAGTCTCTAATGAAGACGCAATCGAAGCATTCTTTATTTGTGCTCTCTCCCTCTCTCTCTCTCTCTCTCTCTCTCTCTCTCTCTCCTGCGTCATTATATATATATATATATATAAACGTCACTTATCAACAAGATTGCTATATACCCAAATAAATACATGCAAAGTTACGAGGTTTGACAAAGTGTGCGCGAGCGTGCATATACATACAAGACAACTGCAAGATCCATTGCCTGAGGCCACTCCTCGCGCCCTTCGCCCTTTTCCATCTCCTTTGCTTCTTATCCTCGTTGTCTCTCTCTCTCTCTCTCACTCTTTCTTTCTTTGTTATTCTTATCTTTTTGCGCGTCTGATCTTCGCCTCTCTTCATAATTCTTCCATGTAATTGAGAGCTCAACTCGTTCCCTCTTCACTCTCTCTCTCTCTCTCTCTCTCTCTCTCTCTCTCTCTGTCGCTCGCTTATTCTCTTTCTATGTCTTATGAGCACGGGAGACACAACGCAAGGGACTTGTGTAGGTATGCTCATAATATTAATACGCCTCGTGGATTAATTATTACGAGCTGGATTTCATTCAATTTCTGGCTCGCTTCTTTCATCCTGCCGAACCGCACTCTGCTCGTTTGTTTGCTTCAGCTTCGTGCTCACAAACGCTTGCAAATTGCTGATCAAAGAGAATGAAAAATAAAGAGATACCAATAGAGACATAGCGAGGATAAAGGCAGAGAGAGAGAGAGAGAGAAAAGAGAGTCAGAGAGAATCTATAATTGAAATTCATTCGATAATCAATTCCTAATTTTTACTCATACAGAAGAAAAAGAAAAAGAAAATAGTTAAACAAAAGTGAGACATTAATAAAAATACAAAGTCCTTTAAATTTTAATAATTTTAATATATGAAAACCCATAAAATAAATCCTAAATGATCTAATTCCAATTTGTATAGTAAGAGTTACGTTTCAATAAAACCGTATACTCGATTTATTATCTCCATATCGTTAAAATTAAAATGCATATTTTGTAGTATTTTGAAAATTTCAACTGTTATCCATATTCCATTTAAATTTAAAAATTCATAATTACTAGTGTTTTGCGATATAATCCGTTATTAAAAAAAAAGCCTGTTAATTAGAAAAGAACAACCAAAGAAATAATTCATAAGTACACAATATAGAATTCTATAAGATGAATAAAATAATAAATCTATTGACTTTTAAGCATTTTATATAGCTTATTAATATGTTTCATTAAAAGTTTTTTTTCTTATTATACTAAGGAGTACTAGTAAATTTACATAAAACTGAAATGTTTTATTTTAATTAAAACCATTTATTGATGTACGATCGATAGTTGGTCGCGTGCTAGAGTTCAGTATTATATGTTCTCCTAATTTATTATGAATCTTTCTTTTAGTAAGACTAATATATATTAAAATATGACGAATCTATCTGTGTTCATATTGATTTATCTGATGACTAATAAAGAATTAAAAAATGTTGGTTGAATTTATTTAAAGTTTTATCAAACAATTAAAATTATAGTATTTTACTGGATAATTCAAAACAAACAGACAATGTTTCAAGTAAAATAAATTCTCTTAAATATTTAATTCTTTAATTAGATCGATACATCTATTTTTTTTCGAAAAAAAAACTAGTACAATAAATGAAAATTTAGCAAAATCTGACACCGATTTTTTTTATTATTAATTATTATTATGGAACATGCATTATATAAAACAATGATTTCTAGTTTTTAAATGAATACAAAAATGAAACATGTAAATAAAAATATCATTTTACAGAATCATAAATTAAAAATATGTAGGTGAAAATAAGAATTTTTACTGTTAATGTAGAATAATAATTAGATCTTACTATGGATAACCTCGTGTAAACAAAGAATTTATTAAAACTATGCATAGTTAAAAATTTGCGTGTACAAAGCTATGATTGTAATTAATCAAAAGTCTGATTATGAAATAATGGAAAAAATTATCGTCAATATCACGTAATTAGCAAATCTTTGTGTGCGCGCAGAAATGGTGAAGAAAGGCGATTAATTAATATTTCCTAAATATATTCTAACAAGATGCTTCGAATTATAATTGCATTTGCCCTTGCTAAGATTCTTTACTGAATGATTAAGGCGTGAAAGCTTACTTATAATATGAAACGAAGTTGATAAACGCGAATCAGTTGACGCTCTATCTTTCATCTCTCTCTCTCTCTCTCTCTCTCACTTACTCACTCACTCTTGAAGTTCGCGCCTAAAACGTGCGTTCATGAGGAAACGGATGGCCGTTGGAACGTCACACACACGAAATGCGAAAAGTAAGAGGTATCGAAAGCTTGGCCAATTGATAAAAATCGCGATAAAGGCCTCTCGCTCGTTGAATCACGAAACTCATTTTTGCTCTCATCGATCAGAGCTTACGGACGACCGACTTTCTTCCGAACAATTTTACTAAATACCAGAATGAAAATAAGTCTAACCCCTAAGAGTGAACAAAAGTCAACCGTGGGAAAACGGACGCATAGCATGATTTCTCGATCATTCTTTGTCCTTCTTGTATTCGGCATTTAATACGCCCTCATAATAATTTATTTAGTCCCTAAACATATATACACACTATCTCAAGACTTTATGACAAATGCAAAGTTTATTTACGTGCAATGACCAAAAATTTATTTGGGATTCTTTCGGATACAAAAGGGATACGGAACGTGAGCACATAATAGAATTGCTTTAGATTAACGAATTATAATAGATTTGGATAGAAATACGGGCGTGAGCAAAGGAAGAGTTAGATGTTCGTTGCGGCTTAACAAATCTATGGTCAGAATGAATGATTCGGTAATGTTCCAGGATGAGCTCTTTAATTTCCCGCTAATCGCCGACTCTCAACACGTTAATAATTCATTAAGGATTACCGGGGATGAGGTGAGAGGCGCCACTATGGGATATACAATGTGCTAATTCTGCGCACTTGACTTTATTATCCACGGTTTATGATTCGAACCTTAGAGATAGTTTGCTCTTTAGTTAGATACTCTTTTGGTCAAAAAACATAACTAACTGGATACTCATTAGCTAAGCAAAAAATCTAACTATAGTTAAATCCGCATGCGATAGAAATTGTATGTGGGACTGACGTGCGGGTGGATAATGGTGAGTACGGATAATCTCAAGACCATTAACGATGTAAGTTAATAGATGAAGCTCGCTTATAAGATAATTTTTGTTTGCTGTAGCGCACTTGGTCAATGAAGGCTAATACTCGCCCTAAATAGAAGATTGTCGTCGCGTGTGGTTATTCCGTGCCAAACCAAACAAGCGTTGGCAAATACCTAATGTAGATAATACCGCGTAGAATAGTAATGAATCGCGGTAAGGTTAATGGATCGATTGACTAAATACTTGCTTTTAATATTGCAGTCGGACATTGTGCACCAAAGTGTGTACGAGCTCGTGCACAGTGAAGACCGGGAGGAGCTCCAGCGCCAGCTCATGTGGAACTCCTTTTTACCGGCGGAGAGCGCCAGCCTTCCCCTTCACGAGGTGCTCTCGCCCTTGCACGGCCACCTCCTGGAGAGGAGCTTTACTGTACGCTTCCGTTGCCTTCTCGATAACACCTCGGGGTTTCTCGTAAGTCTAGATTATCGATTATAAGTAGCTAGTAGTCACGCTTCCCCAGTCTTGTCTTCGATCGGGACTGTGTTTAGAATTAATGCAACATATCCAATTGGACATACCAATATACTCTAGAAGTCTGATCTTCAGCCCTATAGCTTATATATTTATTAATACGAATAAAGATTTTATTGGTACTCGAAAGTCCATTAAGCAATTTCTATAACCTACCCTAACTATTGTAAGTATTGATAAATGGAGGCTTTAGTCTTGCTTGTATTCAAAATTAATCGCCAATATACTAATAACCGCAAATTGCCGGCCTTCCTGTCAACAATTTAAACCACTTATATAGCACAGCTTGTAAGCTTGTTTTAAATGCATTAATATTTGAGTAAATCTAAAGAATATCTGTAGTAATTAATCATTGTATTCGTTATCTTAGTAGCCTGAACAATGCCATAGTTTCCTTACTTTGATCAGCGATATTCTTAGAAGTGCTTGCTTTATGAATACAGCTAGATTAATTTAATATAATTGAAGGCACCTCGCGATATGCAAGTTCTATTTATCTCCTACGTATATGGTATATCTTTGTTGATTTCTATCTAATGAAGAATCAGCGCACTATTTACTAAAATGTAAATATTCACTTTAAAAATGCTTTCATAATGCAGTAATAAGTACTTAGTTCCACTCTCTGCACTGATTTCTATAACAAAAGAATTATTTTTATACACTTCTGTTAAAAACTGAACAATACCTATATTAATATAATATATAGTAATATATATTAATTTATACCTATATTAATACTTCTATTATTTCTTGAATAAGCAATTTCGACTAATAACTCGTATTTTAATCAACTTTTATAAATACGTTTTTTCAATGTAATAATAATAAGTCACTGTACCGCATAATGTTTTCTCAAATATATCAATGTTACCCGAAGCGTTATTAAGAGATGACTTACGAAAAATGATATTATTAGTATTCTTTGATATTTATCCTTCATCTGAGATTCTTTATAAATATAAATCTTATCATCTTTAAAAATATAAAGTATAAATAGTCTTTAAATATAAGTTATTAATGAAAAATTCATGAAATATGTTCTTTAAAAATAATATTTCTCAAATCAGTTTTCCTTCATAAAGTGAAAAAAGCAAATACTTTAAATTCGAATATTTCTTCGTAATATCCAATGCGCACGCAAGTAAAGTCAAAATATTTCTCACGTGCAAAGTGCTCAATGTAGTCATGTAATAATTAATTAAATTAATATGTGTATTCAGATTCAATAAGTTTGTAATTCAATCATATTCATAGACAAATAATTGTTTCCAGTTCTACCGCTGCTATTCGCTTATATTTATTTAATAAATTATTTTACAGTCTATGGACACAAAAAAGATAAAAATTCTTAAAATTCAGTTTTTATTAAACTTTAGGCAAAAGTCTACTTACAGCAAGTTATTTCAATAGGTATTCGTGGCAGAGAATAAAATGAATTAATGTTTTTTTATAATTAGTAGTAATTTTCAATTAGAATTTATCATTAATGCAAATATTGCTGACACATAAATCTCAATTGTCAAGCAATATGCACAAAAAAAGTTTCAATTCCGTCTACCTTTCCAATTTATCAAACATTAATTGAAAAGAACTTTAATTAATTACTTTTAAAATAATCCTATATAACACATTTCATCAATTATAATGATTATAATTAATATTATTTAATCCCGGTGTAATGTATTCATTTTAAAAATAACAATTACAATAAATATCTAATTCACGTTTTAATTATCAGAGTATTATATGATATTCCTATTCTTCAATATAAAAAGTAAAAAGTGGACTTAAGACATAACGATCTCATTTATTAAAATATTTTTCAAGCTGTTATAGTATTGACAAAAGTAATCATATTGCTACTAGATACGTAATTTAATTCTATTATGTACAAAGTATCAACCTCTCATCCTATTGTAACTTAGTTTAGTTATTTTCTATTTATTTGTGTTGCAATAAAAAAAATTTATATATATTTAAGATACGGACATACAATCACCATCATTCGCATTCAAGTACAAAATGGTTATGTTATTATGTCGTATAATTGTCAAATAAAAAAAATTGTATGAATTTCTAAAAGTCATTTCAGTAAAACCTAATGTGAAGATATACTTGGAGTGAAATAGTTTTTACTGAATAAAATGCGTATGTTCGTGCCACATACGAAGAAAATAGGTTGGTAGAAATTAAATGTACACAAAAGCATATGTAATAATTATAAATGTTTCAGCTACATAATCAGTTACGTGATATGTTTCTGTAATGCTGAGTGGAAAACTCTATGTCTACATGAAAGATAATTTCAAATTTTGTAAATAAAATATGAATTATAATTTCACTTACTTTTAATTCTAATTTACATCATTATTTTTCCTAGACGATATGATTATAATGATATTCATAATTATTAAAGTAATTCGTAATTTTTTACGTATTTCGACATTTTTATAATGTTAAAAATATAATTAGTAAACAAGAATATCATAAGACCTTGGGTATGAAAAATTTTAATTTGTAGTGCCTAATTTGTAGTAAAAATTTAATTCCTTTGTGCTTCAAATTGCTATATTAATAAACAAAAAATCATTCTATGAGTATATAATGCATATTTAGATATTTTAGTTCATTGTAAAATTAAACAATTGTATTGAGATACGTAGTTTAAAGTTTAGAATGCTTTTTATTGAACATTACACATTTATTAATATTTAATAAATAATTCATATGGAAATTATAATAATTGTCGATTAAAATGTTTTTATGATATTAATACATTTAATGGATAAGTATTAATTTAAACTTTTAATTGATATGTATTTTCAAAGTATATTTAAATTTTTAAGTATCACTAAATCAATCCTAATGTTGAAGTTTATATCAATTTATTGAAGAATATTTAAGAATGAAACAATGGTATTCTGTAATACATGTTGATACCTTTAATATTTCATTTGACTTTGCCAACATAAATAAATAAATTTATAGAAATATTAAGTATTTAATGTGTAAATAATGCTTATAGCATTCTTAATAATAATATCAAGGCCAATGCTGACATAGAAAATATATCCAAAAATAATTATTGAAATAAGCTTTATTATAGATGAGTTTGTAAAAAATTTCATTTTCATCGACAAAATATGTAAGTAGTTATTCAAGGTGGAATATTTTAATGTAGAATTTATTCAACTTGAAATTGCGAAATTGTCTAGTAGTGGTGGTCACAGACAACCTCTAAAAAAATCAACATCTCATAAAAAACATATGCACAACAGTATATAAAATGTACACTCTCATAATGCTCTATTGATGAAAATATAAAAAAAAAAAAGGATAGATTTTTTGCCCAACGGTAGGTTGATGCGACGATTTAAACTTTTCGGTAGATGTGATGAAAAATGGTTGGGATGTAATGGAACGGAAAGGCAAAATTACTAGCATTGAACATTTGCTTAAAAGCCATTCGTAATATCAAGCGAGGCCTGGGAATCCCGAGACCGTCTGGAGATCTGGACGCAAAGAACTGGACATTTTCATTCTGACTGCCTTTACATATGCGATGGAGAAGAAAAGAGAATAATAAGGGAAAGCTGAAAAAGTTGAGAACGGACTATTTACTTTTTACTTGCGGCTTTCTTTGTGAACACGACTGCAATGGGCTATGGTCGACTGGCACAAAACAATAATTAATAATTTCAGTGTCGTAAGTGGTTGAGAGTGTGGCGATGTTTGGAGGGGATGGGAGAAAAAAAAATGAAAAATGCCCTCTTTCTCTCTTGCCCTTTCGTTTCGTTACTCGACCGCCATCTTTCCGCTTCGCTATTACACGTCCCATGCTAATTGCTTTTTGCAAATATTGCGACGTGCGCAAGAAGTGCTAGTGTCCGGAAATTTCAATGATCAAATGTGGACACGATATACCTAACGGCGTATTTACTCAGACTGATACATTGAAAATTAATGTATTCCAAGAGGTAGTGGCAGCAATGGCGTAGGGAGGATTGCGGCAGAGGCAGTCGGTGGCGGCATGTCCCCAGAATAGTGAATCTTGATTAGAATTTAAATGAGCCGGGAAGCTTATACGACCCTGTGAGTGTAAAAGCCCTAAAGCGGGAGGCAGGCAAAACATTAATTATCCGCGAGCTGCGGAGAAGACGAAGGCAACGAGAAAAAAGAGACGAAGGGATTGAGCCTTGACGGAGCGAGGGGAAAAGTATTTTCGCGCATGTGCAGCTCACAAAAAGAGGCCGGCTGTGACGTTTATGAAAATTAAACTGTAATCATAAAAGTCCTTAATGGCACCGTTGAGCGCAAAAAAGCCTTTGCTAAGTCGTTCGTACGAGCGAGCTCGCTTTTCCATATCCGGGATAACATCCAGTGACCGCGGCCAACTTGCTTTTACTCGCCGCCTACATAACAAGAATAAAAAGTCATGATTATTCTGGATAATCAGGATTCAATTGCTACGAATCGATGTATTTTTTTTTTCTTACAAATGGAGCGCGTATAGAATAGGCTTCGTTTCTTGATAATTAGCATTGATTTGCGGTTCAATTTTACAGAAGCAACGGTCTTGGACCAAATTGTATTTTAAGGTAAAATTAAACGGAGGTGTGATTCAATGTACATAGTAAATGATATACATCTTGAGTTTTTTTTACTTTTATCGAACTATAAAATAGCCTTGATTTCATACGAAGAAATGAATGTTTAAAGTATATTTATTGTGCATAAATTTATGCAGTAAGGAGTGATTTTATTTCGGTTTTATTGTAGTTTTGTAAACTATTACGGCAATTATTAGCAAAAATTTGTGAAACTCAATTCTCAAAAGTACGGAACACATAAGTTTACAGGTTGATTAAAAATGGTAAAAATGGCTGAAATCAATAAAAACGTATCTTGATGTTCTTCGTAGTAAAGTACAGATAGGGAATAATTTATTACAACTGCCTTGAATTCGCATTGAATTAGAATACATAATATACTATCACCTATCTGAGTCAATATATATTTCAAGTATATTATTATATGTATATGTTGGAGTAAAAAATGAATTTTCCAAAATAGTAAATATAAACGCTAACGTATACGGATAACGTAAATTTAGTGTCAGATATTAAGGAATAGCGATAAAAAAATATATACATTTTATTACACAGAAATGAAAGAGTAGCGTATGCAATTACTTCAACAAATAATATTATTGACTAGTGAATAATAATAATAATAATAATAATAATAATAATAATAATATAATAATAGAGGCGATGATCTAAAACGCCATAATAGAATGCTTTGGTAACTAGGTGTATTAAATTATCGATAAAATGTGATGACTTTACAGATAACTAGGGAAATATTGTGTTAGAGTAAGACATGTATTATTCTAATATTAAGTCGTTACGCTATTCCCTATAATCACGTAACGTGAAAGTTAAAATTTACAAAAGAATATTATACATCGTACTACATATATATAAATACGAAACGTACGCTCTTGTAAAACAAAGTTTTTAAGTAAAAGTTTTCGAAAAGATACATGATAAATTAACGAGATAATTATCTAATACAAATTATTAAATCATGTAAATAATAACGTATCGTGTGTACAATTAAAGAAGAGGGTAAGTAATAAATAAACAGCGCGTATATTATGAGCAGCGAATTTTTTTATAAAGTAAAGGACTTTGTAACAATGTAAGGCAGTAATCTAAAAAATTTAAAAAATATTACATATCGTTATGCATGTATCACAATAGCAGCACATCTCGAACTAATAGTAGCCATTGATTTTCTCTCGATCTTTGTAAAACAAGAACAAACCAAAAAAGAAAAAAAAACTCACGCGAAGCATTGAATTTCTCAAATATTACAGATCCAGAATTAACACGTAAATTCTTTTAAAACGAATATTACTCTAACGTTTCAGCGGCTAGATATCAGGGGTCGCGTTAAAGTGCTACACGGGCAGAACCGCAAGACGGAGGAACCACCTTTGGCGCTGTTTGCCCTTTGCACACCGTTCGGGCCACCCTCTCTCCTGGAAGTGCCGCAAAAGGAAGTCATGTTCAAGAGCAAGCACAAACTCGATCTAGCTCTCGTGTCCATGGACCAGCGGGGCAAGATGCTCCTCGGCTATTCAGATTCCGAACTCGCAAACCTCGGCGGCTACGACCTCGTTCACTACGACGATCTGGCCTACGTCGCAAGTGCTCACCAAGAGTGTAAGTCTAAGCTCTCAATTGAGGAATTCGTGGGGATTATCGAGATTAGAAATGGTTGAATCGTTTATAAATTTTCAGTACTCAAGACTGGAGCTTCCGGTATGATTGCGTACAGGTACCAGACGAAGGACGGTGGCTGGCAGTGGTTGCAGACAAGCTCGAGGCTCGTTTATAAAAACTCCAAGCCAGACTTCGTTATAAGCACGCATCGACCTCTCATGTAAGTCTTTACTTATCTCACGATGATGTACTCGTGACTCAAAGGGCAGGGGGTGTCCCGACAAATCTTATCAAATCATTGCCTAAATAGCTATTTAATGTCGATAATTGGATTGTAAAGTCTCTTGAGTGTGAAGAGAAGGAATGAACACGGTATATTTGATGAAGGGAAGAGGAGGGCCGCGACCTATTGGGGAAGCGCACGATGGACTTCAAGGTGAGCTACTTGGATGCCGGTCTCACGAACAGCTACTTCTCGGACAGCGATAGTCTCGGTGGGAGCGTCTCGTGCATGGGGTCGCAGATTGGCACTCAGCAGCAACAACAGCAGCAATCGCAGCAGCAACAGCAACAGCAACAGCAGCAGCAACAACAACAACAACAGCAGCAGCAGCAGCAGCAGCAGCAGCAATCACCCCAGCCGCAAGCGCAGCGGGTGAACCGCCGCTACAAAACGCAGCTGCGCGACTTCCTGTCGACGTGTCGCAGTAAACGCGCCAGTAAACTCGGTACAAGCTACCCTCCCTTCTATATTTTCGTCTCGCCGCCTTTTATTTATTTGATCGGCAACTCCTGCCGCGCTTTTCGTTATCTCAATCTGATCAAAATTACCATGTCTTGCAAATTAACGTGAATATGAGCACGCGCGCATGCGAAAGAGAGAGAGAGAGAGAGAGAGAAGTTAAAAGAGTGCAGAATTACATGAAAATACCGAGTATCTCTTGAGTTGAGAAATTAATGATTAAAATAAATATTAATACGGTAACGGCTGAAAGTATAAGTTTAAAGTCCATTACTGTTTTTATTTAACATGCCAATTTGTAAACGATAAATATGAAATTGCAATGATAAATTAATTGATACTGCATAAATACTTACTATTTTGAAAATATTTTCATGAAGAATTTATATTAATTAACGAATTTAAGCTTGAGGTATGAAATAACGTATTAAAAATCGATATGTATTAGTTTAAATGATCAATTCGTTTAAATTTATACACGACGGCTATTACAAGTAAGTTTAAGCTTTATCATGACGCCACGATAATTTTACGTTGCCTTATAATCTCGTAAATTACTAATGTCTTTAAAAGTTTTGACGTACGATAAAATATCGAGATGATATTAAAACATGGCTCATTGGACTAAAACTGTAAAGCAGATAATAACATGGAATTTTATAGAATATGCTTGACACATAGCTAAAATAATTGAAATAATCTATTTTTAATGATCCATCCATCTAGAAAGTCCTCTCATATTTTCCGATAAGTTCCTAGTTTTAAAAACATATTTTTATTTTTATTACAAATTTAAAACGCTTTCAAGTACGTATATAACGATTCGATAATCTTTGCGAAGCACTGCTAGCATTAAAGATAAATATTTGATAATTCGAGTTATAACAGAACCACGTATGTAATTGATAATTATCTGATAAAATTAGAGAAGAACGTAGTAACTGAATTTTTCAATGAAATAAGCTCGAAGAATGCAAATAATAAACAAACATAATTATAGACTTATTAAAACGAAAGATAACTATAAGTATTTAAAAATGAAAATTACTTAATTACAAAATAGTCGAGTATTTTTTTTTAACGAACGAAAGCCATTGTTTCCATATACGTATATATATCTTCATATTGAATCGTGCAATTATATTCTGATTTCGTAATTTTCTCAGGAGTTTGTCGACTCCCATTGCAACGCACATAACCTAAATGTAATTATAAGTGTTGAGTACTTTCTTGTAACGAATATGCTGATCGTCGCTCGTTCACGTTTCGTTCAATTTCGTCAAAGTGTCAAAAAATTGAAAGTGAGGAGCTCGTGCGAGTTATCAGCGAGTGTTAAGTCAGGCCCTTATCAATATGCCAAACAAATTAAGAATCATGTGTGCACGTAATCAGGAGCAGCTCAGTCGGCGCAGCCCTCACCCCTCTCGCCGGTTGCGGTACCCGCGACCGCGGCGACGGGCCCCGTCGGTGTCGCTCCCGTGGAGTATCTCGCGACGGACAGCAGTGCCGCCGCCGCGGCAGTGGTTGCCGCGGCGGCCTACGGCAACCTCAACAGCATGTATCCTGGGGCTTCTTACGCACCCTCGTCCAGCGCCGACCCGGCACTCAGCCCCTATATTGGCCACACCGGCACTTACCACCACCAAACCCTCTACCCCACCACAGCACTCGATAACAGGTAATCTACCATCCCCCCCCCCCCTCTTTATATTTGCCTCCTTTTAGTACGGAACTTTTATAAAATATTGTTTTATACTCTCTTTATCTTTTTGTCGACTACGCGCGCGTGTATCTGTGTGACTCTGAGTAACATGGCTGTAAGAATAGTTGTGTAACGACGTCTTATCATCGACTGGACGTACAAGCCTCTTCGCTTATAAAATACAATGCTATACTCAATATTTGCCTCTCGTATAGAATTGTATAGAATAATTGAGCTGTATAGAATAATATCATTAAACTGTTGCGTTATATGTACATAGTGTTATTAAGCATGACCTTGATCGTTTGTGAAAATATATTTTACCAAAACAAAAAGCAGCAAACTCGTTTTTCATAATAATTATCACATAAACGGTAGTCCATAAATAATAAAATTGGCTCGTGGGAAAATTAATGGCATTTCCATTATTTTGTTATTAGCATGGCGCTTTATAATGTTGCTATCAAAATAAATGTTTCTAGATTAATTAAAACGATAATGTTACGGTTAATTGATCTTTAAGTAATCGATCGCTTAGTTAATTACAATAATGATACAATTTTATTTTCCTGTATCCGAGATTATGAATACATCATTTATCTCATCATTTATAGACAATCATTATTTATATATACATAATTAGAATTATGCGATACGCGTACGAGAGCTTTCTATCGTTGTCTATTTTACTATAAAATGTGACGTCACGAGTAAAAGCTACGCTAATAGTATTCGAAGCGTCGATTAACTATTTTCCCCTTTACATTCGGATCGGATGAACAAGAAATTAATTCGCTTGGAGGAGTGCGGGTTATAACGATAATCGTGGACGAATAAAAGGCAAAATGACCGACATCTCGATGATACTGCACAGGTACCTGACGGCGACGGAGAATCTCTTCCAATACCGACCGCTCGGCTCGTACTACCCAGAATACCATACGTCAACGAGCTACAACGGCTTCATCGACGTCTCTTTGCCGCCAACATACGAGAGTCACCAGCAGCTGGCTGCAACGGCTGACTCACCCAAGTACGGCTACGCGACGGACGGGCGCTCAAGCTACGCTGTAAGCAGCCCGGTGCTGCAGAACGCAGAGGCAGCGGTGGTGATTGCACGGACCGGAAGCCGGCACTCCCTCGAGGTTGCCTCGGCCTCCTCAAACTCCGCCGGTAGCTCTCCCGCCACTGCTCCCGGCTCCAACAGCAGCAATACGACTAACAACAACAACAACAACAACAACAACAACAATAACAACAACAACAGCAACAACAATAACAACAGCGGCGGCAATAACAATAATAATAACAATAACAATCATAATAATAACAACAACAACAACAATGGCGTACTCACGCCAAAGCTCGAGGACGTGAAGCCAGACGTGTATGGCAACGAACCGCTACGTCAGACGGTTCTCATGTGGGGCGCCCCGCCCTCGAGGACGCCACCGAGAAACAACGGCAGCTACAGCCCACCTGCACCCGTCCGCGCCGCCTTGAACCGTAAGTGTAGCCTGTCATGAGACAACCCCAAATATCAGGCGCTTTATTACTTTAAATACCATTTATCCGCTCGCGTCCTCACTCATTTTTCTTCTCCTCCGTGTGAGACACAAGCAAAAGAAGTAATGGGCTCCTATTTCATTCGCAATGAAATGTTTCGCATGTCGATGCAATACATAAAGCAATAATATCTTATAAACATTCAAGAATCCCAAGAATGATATTTTTTACTTTCCAACTTTTCAATTACGCATAAAGTATATAACTATTTCTAATATAACTGTCCGTGCGCATACTATTACGCATTAAATGGCAAATGCAAAAGCTGCCGACCATTTGATAGTTTGTCACCACATGCCCCTGTATTATTCTCTGTCACAGCACGCTCGGATCCTTTAAAAAGTCTTCAGGAGATGAACTCTATCAATGGTGAGTGTAAGTGGAAAAGAACTTCACCCGTTGGTCACGGCGGCCCCATGTCCAGTCCTCCTCGCGTACTCGCCTCTAAGGCCCATCACCACCATCACCACCACCATCATCATCCCCAGCAACAACAGCAGCAACAACAGCAACAACAACAGCAACAACAGCAACAACAGCAACAACAGCAGCAACATTCCCATCATCAACACCATCAGCAACAGCAACATCAACAGCATCAGCACTATCCTGTGGTAACATCGGCGCATTATGCAACGGTGGCCAGCGGCTATGCGGCTCATCCACCCCAACAAGGCGACCCTGGCTCCGAGGTATGGCAAGGAGTTCAGCAACACCACCACCATCACTACCAGTACTTCTACCACCATCACCACCACCCCACCGCACCGCCAAGGCACGCGTCTCAGTGAGTGTCACTGATACCCTCACACTTTTGCGCTTATCTCTCTTATTAATCATGTTTTCATGTAAATTTTTATTCTGACACTTACCCTGTCGTCGTGCTATGAAATTTCTTGTTCTCGAATTTTCAATTTTTGCATTCGTCCTCGTGGCAAAGAGCAAAAGCTTAAAAATTAGTCAAGCCACCAGAAACGCTGGCCGAATCGCTTATGTTTAGCGAGGTTCGCAATCATTTATTCGTCAGAGAATAATTGCGTGAATTAATTTGGCCGGATATTGTCAAATTATCAAAATTTGAGGCGTGATGTGGCGACAAGTGATGCAAATCGGGCGAATAAAGTCAGAAGCTCGAATGACATCTCCATACGTGAAATGGCTAAATCAATAAGCAATAGGCGCTCACTGGAATAATATATCTCTATTGGAAAAGACGTGTGTAATAGGTGATGGCTTGATGTCGCAGCATGTCATCGTCGGGAACGGCAACGGCGATGGATCCAGACATCACGAGCAACACATCCACGGTAACAGCCAACAACAGCACCATCAGCAACAGCAGCAACAGCAGCAACAGCAGCAACAGCAGCAACAACAGCAACAACAGCAACAGCAGCAACAGCAGCAGCAGCAGCAGCAGCAGCAGCAGCAGCAGCAGCAGCAGCAGCAGCAGCAGCAGCAGCAGCAGCAGCAGCAGCAGCAGCAGCAGCAGCAGCAGCAGCAGCAGCAGCAGCAGCAGCAGCAGCAGCAGCAGCAGCAGCAGCAGCAGCAGCAGCAGCAGCAGCAGCAGCAGCAGCAGCAGCAGCAGCAGCAGCAGCAGCAGCAGCAGCAGCAGCAGCAGCAGCAGCAGCAGCAGCAGCAGCAGCAGCAGCAGCAGCAGCAGCAGCAGCAGCAGCAGCAGCAGCAGCAGCAGCAGCAGCAGCAGCAGCAGCAGCAGCAGCAGCAGCAGCAGCAGCAGCAGCAGCAGCAGCAGCAGCAGCAGCAGCAGCAGCAGCAGCAGCAGCAGCAGCAGCAGCAGCAGCAGCAGCAGCAGCAGCAGCAGCAGCAGCAGCAGCAGCAGCAGCAGCAGCAGCAGCAGCAGCAGCAGCAGCAGCAGCAGCAGCAGCAGCAGCAGCAGCAGCAGCAGCAGCAGCAGCAGCAGCAGCAGCAGCAGCGGCAGCGGCTTGTACTATCCGCCGGCACTGCCGGTAGAATCGATCAACTCGGCGATACCAATAACGCCTGCCTCTCAGATCCTAAACCGGACACTGGGAGTCCTTTGCTGTCCATCTCTGAGGTGACCAACACTCTGCTTAACCAATAGCCCTGTTGCTGCTACCTCATTTTGGCCTCGACAGACAGCATGAGATTATTCTGCCGCTTGGCGTTGAGAGGTGAGTGCGTTTCTTTCTGGACGGCAACTTACAAATTTGCTTTAATTCTTTAAGCAAATTTATGAATAGTGAACCTTAAGGCTCGATAATTATATACGAGCAAGAAAGAAAAAGAATTATATTTTCTCTCTTTTATATCGTTTAAATGTCCGTCTATAATGTCAAATATGCTGAAAATAAATCTTTAATAATCGAAAAATTAAATTCAAAATGTCAAATAAAATATTGAATTTTACAAAGTATCAAATATATATGATAAGCTTTTGTGCTTCAAAATTTTCAAAATCTATCGCCTAAAATTGCTTCTAAAATTCTAAATAAATTCTAAAGTATGAAGAATACTCTCGTCAAAGAATTTTCTTTACAAAGTGTAGCTAATTAAAGATTAATTTAATAAATTGTTAAAATAGAATTGTAACGACAGAGTTAAACACAAATCTATTATTTAGTTCTATTCTGAGGAATCAATTTCAAATAAAAGTAATAATAAAATAATAATAATAATAATAATAATAATAATAATAATAACAACAACAACAACAACAACAATAATAATAATAATAATAATAATAAGAAGAAGAAGAAGAAGAAGAAGAACAAGAAGAAGAAATAACGTAAAATCATAAATTTGTCTTTGTTTCTCTTGATAGAAATGACTGCTGCGGCTTAACAATGTATCATACCGGATAAGGATGCTGCAGCTCTTATAACCAAGAAATCATACTGTAATATATTTATCGTTTGATTGTCGAGTCTGGGACGAAGAGGATTCACAGAAAGCTATTTACTCCAAAATTCTCTTCCTCCTATTAAATACGTATTTTACTTTGAGCCGATGCAACCGTCAATTTCCCTTTTTCCACTTCCTTTTTTCATTATACATACTTTTTTTTTTTTTTCAAAACGCGACAAATAATACGCATTCTGTGATATGTGTTAGCTAATTTATCAATCTTCACAAGGATTGTCTCCGGGAATTCGTGCGGACTTGGTGTTGGCCCAGTTTTAAGTACTTGAGGGATTATTAAATAAAGTGAAATAAGAATAAGTAAGGAGGCAAAGCAATAAAATAAGAAAAAAAGAAGAAATAAGAGAAAAATAGGTCATGTATCATTCCTTTGGCCGGAATCGAGTCTTGCCAATAATTTTGTTAATAAGTTTGTAATTTTGTGTACTTAATTAATTTATACGCTATTTATGTACGTGCAGTATGTAGATGTTGTTAGCCAAGCTAGATGAGACTTCCACGAGCCTTATACTATTTACTATCAGCAAATATGATAAAACAAATGTGAAATACGATTGGCTAATGTGAAAAAACACGATGCAAATCATTGTATAAAATTTGGAAAAATTCCTAAATTTAAACCTACGAATATTCCATTTGTATATGTATTTAAATTCATAGACATTTAAGGTAGATGGATTAACGAAGGCACTTAATGGGAAGAATAAAATAAAAAAAAAACTAATGTACAATATACAATCACTAGCCGAATTATCCTCTACATAATTCATAAATTTTTCTATTAACTTTACGAATAAGATTCGTAATCACTTCTCTTCTCCATCGACATTCTTCTTTTCTATCTCGCGAGTTAGTTTCCCAGGGTATATACACAAATGTAAAGAGCCGGGGAATCCAATGTATTATTATGTTATAGCCCATTAACGATAAGTACTCAAATCTAGTCCTCGTACGATGCGAATTTGATAGTTATTACAAGACATACGAAGAAAGAAAGAAAGAAAGAAAGAAAGAAAGCAAAAGTTATTACCCTTCTATCATGCTTAGACTGTGATAAAATGCTCGCTCACTTTTGCAAATATTAGCTTGTGCCCGTCTTTTTCCGAATTCATCCGGCTGACGTGTTTCTCTCCCCTTCATCGAACCCACGTTTATTATTTCCACTTCGCTAGCTCAGGTTTCGTTTTCATTGAAGAGCAAAAAAGAGAAAAAAGAGAAAAAAGATCACGCATAAAATATTGACCTTGATCCACCCATATTTTAAATAAGTAAAAAAAAATCATTACCATCGTTCGGAGTATTTCACATCTTTACATGCAATATTAATCATCTCTTTGTCATGCGTAACCTCGATGAGCCTATAAAAAGGTGAAACAATGAGTAATAGTGTGTGGCGTGTGCGTGTGCGTGTGTGCGTGTGCTGTGCTGTGGGGGGGGGGGGGGGGGGTAAACGATGCTATAGCATTTATATTTGAACTTTTTAATATCGATGGGCGATCTCTGAAATTGAGTGTAATTTCTGAACATTGCGTAAGCGAAATGGAAACAATCGACGATAATATTTTAAACAATAATGATTTAGGTGATTTAATAGCAATTCATCATTAGCTGTACATTGTACAGAGCCATGCATAGACATGCACACGGTTGCATGAATGTAAACGCATCTCCCTTTCGTACGTAAAAAACAACATCTATGCATGCGCATTTAGAGACACATATGCATGCGCACACGGATAGTATCATCGAACGAAAGTTGCGATCGATTGGGATCCCACGAGTCTCTGATGCACTGCAACAAGTGCAATAATACTCAAGGTCGTGTCTGTCAAGATATTTCGTTTGATTCGATTTGTGTAATATAGCACGCTTTATTACAGACGTGGGCTCGAGTCCAAAGGAGGGGCGATCGATTAAAAAATTAAAAAAGCCAGCGAGAGCATTTTCACAGTTACAGCATATATTGCGTATATCACTGTAATACATGTATTATACAAAACATATGAAAAAATAATAAAGACGATAAGGGATCGATTGACGTATGCGATACCCTATCTCCTATCGTACTAGTATATTATATCGATATTTAGTCGATTTTATTGTTTACTCCGCTCTCTCCTACTCAATCGACAAATCTGATATTTTGCGCGATTATCGCGATAGCCAGTATTGTTATGTGCACGCGTCCTTCCGACCATAATCCCAGCGACAATTGCGCCCTGGTTGTCTATTTTGAGTTCGGTATCTTCGGCCGAACGTCATCTTGGCTTTGAAACATTTTTTTCGACGAAATAGTTATAATCTAATCTCTCTCTAAGCGATTCTTTATTACGCCATGCATTATAACGCAAATCGCGTCATGCCAAATCATAACAAAGTCGAATAATTTCATTCTATATATTATCAAATTTCTCTCTGATCAGCATTAAATCATTCTCAAAAATTATATTATACTATATAGAATCTTACTACTACGATATACTAAATCCACTAATAAAAATAAGCTCTACGTGAACGAAAAATTGAAAAAATGTATCAAATGTTTATATATGCAATAAATTATGCTAGAATTTATGAAACTCTATCTTTCTTTATGATCCTAACTATTATTTATCCTGTCTCATTCATACACTCCAATTTTTTAAATCCAATAATAAATTGTACTCAAATAATTACAAATCACTTTTTTTTTTATTTATTTTTTTTTTTAACGACTTTCAATTGGCTTCGTATGTTTTTAATAATAATACACTTTGACATATAAATTTGATTTTGAATCAAGTACAAGTATCATTAGAATCATTGTAGAAAATTAATTTTACTGCGCTCAGTCATAATAAAGTATTAATTAATACATAGAAACTTATTATTTGATAATTTGTAAGGAATAATAGATAAGTGTAATGCATTTATATCATGAGGGATACCAACGATTCAATGTTAGCGCGCTCGTGACGTGAAACCCGACTTGCCAGAGACGCCAGAAGATGCATATCCGATTGCATTTAAGAATAAGATATCATGCGCATGTGCAAATTTTGAGTTATAACATCCAATGGGAGACGTAAATTATTTTCGTAATTCCTATTCTGTCCCAGGTTAATATCTGGATCAATCAACATCGAGCATTTACGAGGCTGATAATATATTTATTTTATGAGGAAATTTGTTATTTCATCTTTATAAGTCTGAATGAATTTCATTTTATAAATTCAAAAAATCAAAACAGATATTTTATCGAAAAAGAATATTATTTACTCTCGATGATAATTTTTAGACACACTGTATAATTCAATATTCTTATTGCGCGCAATTACAGGATACCGTAAAAATGAACTATTAAAAAATATGCTTCCAAAAATGCATTTGAAAATTTTGCATTAAAATTAGAAAGCAAATAAATTCTATCTAACAATTACATGACAACATCCCATCAAGTATTAATTTAAAAATTTTCGTTTACTTGAAATAGATTTGTAAATCTAACCACTTGTACTACAAATTAATCGTATTTATAAAAATGGTCGAAAACAAAGAATTATTTATTGTTAATCCCGATAAGCCAATGAAATTTACTGTTGTGAATAATCATACTATGCTAAATATAAAGAAAAATCAACTTTCCAAAAAGATTGTGGTAAAGAAGACATTGATCAATCTGTCATACAAAGTGTTTGAACAAATTTCATTTAATAATATTTGTAGACATTTGCTGATATAGTTTGGTATACTGAATATTATTTAACCATTTGATTAATATCATTTTATTCTATTACTTTTCTCAAATAAATTAGCTTAATATTATTCATAATATCATTATACTTTATTTTTTATTAAAAATTATCCGATAAAAGCAGCTTTATAATTTAGCCTAATGTAAGTTTATATTAATTCAGTATAAGTTTTATGTCAATTTATACTGAGTAGTAAAATTTTATCCACATCGCTGTAAATTTAATATTATTATAACATTCTATAATACTTATTGATTTTTAAATTTAATAGGATCACGGTGGTATAGAAGTACCTTACGATATAAGAGACGACGAATGTATTGTATTAGCACAAAAATTTAATGATGAATCGATGGATGAAAACATTTTTCATATTAAATATGTTAGAGATTGTATTTTAAAAAATAAAATATTAGATTTACAAGATTATCGGTAATTGTATAAATACTTAATACAATTTCATTTTTGTATACTTTATTAAAAAATTAATACAGAATTTATTATTCAATTGTTTACCATAATTTATAGATTAAAAAATAATAGAAATACATCAGCAATTACAAACGATGAATCCATTGGAGAGTGTGCTTTGTAAGTTATTTTTAATATCATATACACATGTTATTTTTGTATTGTATTAAACCGAAAAAAGTATTAATTAATTGTAAATAATTAGTGCCAAAAAAATTTTGTCAAACAAAAGTATACCTACACATAATCGTACACCAGAAGAAGATCTAAGAATGATTGAACAATTAGAAAGTACCTTGTAAAAATACATTAAGGATCTTATAGTTGTATATTAACAGAAAGTTAAAGAAGAAAATACTCAGCAGCTACTTAAGTCATACTATTATCCATATAAGACATTTGGTAAATAAATTCCCAGCTTTCAAATTATAATGTTATTTTGTATGATATATTTATATTTAATATTGAATAGTTCAAGTGCTCAACTATAAACTGTAAAATAATTTAATTTTTGTATTCATAAAGATTGTTTATTTGTACACCGGCGTATTATTAATACACATTACTAATTTATTTTGTGAAAAAATATTAGAATAAAAGTCTAAATTAGGTGTAATATAAAATGCATGATTAAATATTTTATTTTGATTTGAATGTGTAAACTCTAGTGTAACTATTTTCTGACTATATATATATATATATATATGTGTATATAAAATGTAGAATTCTACTTTATAAAGTTATCTGTAAATTTGCATTAACGCTAATAATCCATTCAATTATTCCATGTGAACTGTATGAATTATATAATAATTAACGTATTTAATAGTACTGAATTCCTTGTTTAAATATCGTTTAATTTATATCTAATTAAATGATTTGTACATTAAAGAACTTACGACATGTACTCCATTACTTTGTAGGTTTAATTACATTCTGAATATGTGAGTGAAAATGTGACAAATAGTTTTAGACAAGTAATAAACAATTAAAACAATATTTTAAAGTATTAAGAAATAACTAGCGACTGCAAGTTGAAGATAAAGTAATAAAACTCCTGGAACCAATAAATAATGAATCTCGAAAATCATTTTTTTATATATTTTAGTATTGGTATTTTTTAACTGAATAATACTTTATCTACTATTATAGCATTATGTATAATTATATGATTACAATAATTTTTTGAAGTAGTATACAATAAATGTAAATTCTTTAATGATGTAACAATACAACATGAATTATTAATCTTTAAATATTAAATTTTAAATAATTTATTTTTAAATTCATTTATATTTTTCAGACAGTAATAATAATGCCTAATTTATTCTATTGCTGATATATTTTTAAATCAAACACTAAAAAAATTTGTCTTAAATTCAAATAACCATTAGTTAATTATTGTATAAATTGTTGACTAATTAAAGAATGGATAAAGTCTTATTTTTATTATCTTGCAAAACAAGAGAAAGTATTATAAAGTCTAAAATTTATGAATTTCATTTTATATATTTTTTAAATAATAAAAGTATATTATGCATTTTTATTTGATTTTTTTATGAAAAAAAATAAGTCTGTAATCATGGATAATCAATGTGCCTCGTTTCTCATCCATTTATCGAGACGAATATACGACATCCAATCATCGTGAATCTGTTCTTAGTGGATGGACGATTCAACAGGATCTGATCACTTTGATTTTAGGATTAGTCTAAGCGTTTATTTATCACCGATAAAAATAATTTATTCATCTCATGTTCTTAAATTGAATTTTTTAAGTAATGGACAAATTTTGTAATTAGTTTAATGTGCATTATAGAATTTTCGTAAAAAAATAAGGTTTATCTTTCAAAAATTATAATAAAGGGAAAATATAGTACAATTTAAGAAAATTAGGGCATAAAAATGGCGATATTTTGTTTCCATTAATATTAATACAATTAGCTATAAATCGAAGACAGTATCGAGTTCACTTACAATATATATTTTTATATTACAAAAGCATATATATATCGAGATACTACAATCTGACAATACAATGATCTGCTAGCTACCTAAAACTTCACATATACTTAAATTTCATCTAATATGGAAGAATACAATAGAAGATAATTATTTAATAGATCCTTATCGTGCACGTTCAATTTTGTATAACTGAACATTTGGGGGGAATAAATGGGAATTAGCCATGTGCTAAAAAGGGGGGGGGGGAGAAAACGAACGAGGATAATCTAAGCGTTGAAGCTTGAAAGACACACTAGCATTAGTATGCGTGTTAAAGAGAAAGAAGATCAAAAAGAGTAAGACGTTATTATTGCGAAGGTAGTGTGTGTAACAGGACTAGTGTGTAGGAACTAGAAACCAGTGTGTCACAGTCTCACAAAACATCTGTAGCACTTTGCTGCTGACTGTTACTGACTACTGAATTGCGAACATGTCGATGTCAACGGAAGAAAAGATTCGCCACTATCAGAGAAGCATCGATAGATCTATTCTTGACAAATCAAGAGTAAGCAAATTCAAATCTCGTCCACTAATACATTTAAATAAATAACAAAATGTCTTTCCTTTATGACTGGGCTTATTTAATATTCATTTTTTTTAAATATTATCTTTCCGTCCTTATGGAAGTCAAATTAAATATTAGTAAAGTATTTTAGGCTTAACATTTGAGGTTACTCTTAAACCTTTGATATACATAGAATAAAAAATATGTTTGAGAAAAATATTAAATTCTAATTTTTTTGGGCATATATTAAGTTTTATGTATTTCGTTTATAGAAAAAAGTTTGTTAAATACTTTGCATAAGCTAAAAATTTAATAACTCATTGAGAAATGTGAAATTTACATATAAATTAATAATTCTGTTTTTCAATAATAAATTATCAAAATTGATAACATAATATTTATCTATTTTCTTATATTTTCTTCTTTGCATACAAATTTGCTCTTATGGACATTTATAGATTTAGCTAAAATAAAAAAGTTTATTCAAAACAATTACTTTTTCTTGATATTTTTATTTTCAATATACCGTATATGTATAGCTTTTATTAATAACTAGATATATCTTTCATTTATAAAATTAACGATATTAAAAAAAGCTTTACATTGTATCATTTCTTTTAAATAAAAGATTCTCATTACCACTTTGTAAACTATATAAATTTGATATAAAATATTAATTTTATATATATATATATATATATCATTTTTAATTAAATATCTGGATGTAAAAGAAATTAATTTTAATCAACTTATATATTAAAATATAATTTTAGAAAAATATTACATTTGAAAATTTTCAATTTTTAAAATATTTATTAGTAAATACTATTTTAATTTTACTTTATTATATTTTGATATTGTTTTTATAGTTCTATTAGAAGTGAAAATAAAATAGAATTGTATTAGTTTATTGATTAATAAAAAAGTAGGTTAGAAAATCACAATTATTATTTATGCAAATGTTTTATTGTTAATTTTAAAAACTATCATTATAATTATAAATAAGTTATTACGTGCATAAAGAAATGTTAAATAAAATTTCTTTAAATAATTTCAGTTATTACATTGTATTGAAATACTATCAAAATTACCAGTGACAGTACAGCATCTACAGGTAACTGGAATCGGTCGTACAGTAAATGCTCTTCGTAAAATTGAAAATGGTGTTGGAGATGCAGCTAAGCGCTTGGTAGCTAAATGGAAAATAATGGTAGCAAATACTGATACTAGTGAAGAGGAAGATGAGGCCTGTGTGCCAGATGTTCCCGAGAGCTATGAATCACCAGAATGTGATTCTGAATCAGAAAATATAATAAACGAAAGCAGAGGCAGTAACATTATTCCACCAGAGGTAAAATGTTGAATATAAATATTGTATTTAATTATTTAAACATTTTAATTTTATTATTATTATAATAACTATTCGCAGGCTTTAAGAAGACCAGTACTTTCCCCTTCTATCATTTTAGATGAAGATATTTTGTCAAACACCTCTCCTTCTACATCAAATAATCACATAGCATCTGATGATGAAGAAAAATTGACAAGGTATTTTTCATTTGTTCATATTATTTTATTTCATATTGATTTAATTTATACCTACAAAAGAAATCAACAATGCATAATAAAGGAACCTGACATTTATTGCATTGTTAAAGTATTAAAATTACATTCCATTTGTATTTATATAAATGTTTATATAAATTAAGTAGGAGTATTTTAAAAGTTACATAAAGTTAAATAGAACAGTGTAATAGGTGAAAGAAGAAGCAATAATATTATTCCGTTTTATAGCATATAGCTCTATATCATAATTACAAGTATTGATAAGTGACTAATTTGTTAATTTTAATGAATCAAATAAAATATATGTAACAATGCTCATTAAAAACGAATGAAATTTAATTAAAAAGTGTAGGTTATTTGCTAAATATATTAATAGTGATTTATTATTTTTAAATAGTTTTATAATATATTCACAACAATATTATAGGAGCTTAACGTAATATGCTAATTCATGTAAAATAAAGTTTTTTTATAAAAATTTGAGTTTAATAAAGATTGAACAGTACTAAAGAATATATAATAATGTATTATTATTATGTAATAAATATTATGTAAGGAATTTAACTAGAATTTGTACAATTTATTTTTTATGTTACAGCCATAATATCTCAAAGGCTAAAAGTAAAATCAAATCATTGGATATTAATTCAAAATTTACGAATTCTAAACACTTGTGCCACAAAGGCAAAGGTTCAAAAAAAGAATCAAAATCTAAAAGAGACAAACATAAAGATGAGTCTGCAAAGGTCAATAAGAACAACTTAAAAGATCCAGAAAATATTAAAAACAAAAAAAAAGATAAAGATAAAAATAAAATCGAATCATGTACAAGTTCATCTTCAAGTAAAAATAAAAAATTCTCAGATGATGAAAAACACAGAAAACGAACATATGACTCAAGTTCGAGCGATGCAGAAAATGATATTAAAAAAAAAAAAAAACTGGAAAGTGAAGAAGAAAATGCATATAATGAAGAATATGTGATAAATGATGAGGGATCAGAGGATGAAAAGAATTGCAGAATGCCCTCATTAGACAGTCAATTAAAAGAAAAGTCTAGTCTGAAAAGTATAAGCCAGAGTGATAAAGAAAAGTTGAAAGAAAAGCATCGCAATAGTTCCAGCCATGGGTATGTTATATTATATTTAATTTGGTTAATCTAAATCATAATAGACTATTGAATTTTTAATTTATTTTAAAAATTTGCTTACATTTATATTATTACATAAATACAATAGAATAATGTCAACAATAATTTATTTTCTAACAATGATATCTATATAAATATGCACTATTTATAAATTTGTATTCTCTGTAATTAATATATAAGATGAATAAAAATAATTTATTAAAATAAATTACATCATAGTTTCTATTATAAATTTATTCTATAAGGAATACTATTTGCTCTAAATTATTGACAAAAAATGTTAGTAAAATTATTTTATAATTTAATTGAATATATATAAAAATTATATCACAGATTCATTAAAATAGATTTACATATTTGAAAAAATATTTATAATTTTATAACCAAATAAAATAAGACAATACTTTGTAATGTTTTAGAAAATAAAAAAAAGTAGCTTAAAGAATTGTAATTTTGTAAGATTGTAAAAATAATTGAGGCACATGATATATATATATATATATATATATATCATTTTTATTTCAATATATTCATGATTCAATAAATCATATATTCAAAGAAAGTAAATCTAAATTCTATAAAATTCTCGTGTATATCAAATTGGTTTATTTTTTACAGCATATAATTTATTTAAATAGAATATATAATCATTGACTTCTATAAGAGTATTACTTATATTGTTTTATACTTAATATTACAAACGTTTATAAATCCTTTTTTTTATAGAAAAAGATGATCACTAGTTATAGTAAAAAATCTTTTATTAGTTAAATCAAAGCTTCTGCATAAATTTTTATATAATGATCTTTAAAATTTTTGTGGAATGTTACAGATGTTATCATACACGTTATTACATGTAAATACTTACATTTTCAAATTAATGGTTCAATTTTGATTTCTCAAAGTTTATAAATTTATAATTTATAATGATAAGCCTAAAAATTAGCTTTCTATAATCTAGTAGATGACGATTTGATGAATGATATTTAATAAGCGTACATACATACATACATACATACATACATACATACATATACAAATAAAATCCATTAGTCATAAAAATTAATTTTTTATAATACTACTTTAAATAAGTACCTACTAAAATTATAAACTATTATATGATTAAGTATTTCATAATAGCACTTAATAATAATAGTATAATTCTTTAAAACTTCAATATACGTAAATCTAAATCCAAAAATGTTGAATGTTAACTTAATGTATGTTTACTAAAAATATATAAAATTAAAATAAGCATCAATTGTTTTCATTTAATGAAAGATTAATTTATATCAAAATATTTTAGTGTAAAAATTATGAAGTAAAATAAAATTGTATTGCAATTTTCAGCAAAATCAAAAAGCACGAATCCAGTGAAAAGTTGAAAAAGGATGAAAAACAATCGAGTTCTAAATCGAATGAATGTGCAAAGGAAAGAAAATATAAAAATGATGAACAGTGTAATAAGGAATCATTGAAATTAACATCAAGTTCCTCCAGTAATAGGGATCATTCTAAAATAAAATACAAGGATAAAGATAAACACAATAAGGATAAAGTAAAGGAATCAAATAGTAAAAGTCATAAAGAAGAAAAAAATACCACTAAAGATGATAGAGGAAAATGTAAGGAAAATAATGAAGTCAAAGAACATAAAGAATCCAAGTCACACAAAGTACAAAAGGAACACAAAGAGAAAAAAAAAACAAAAAAAAGCGGTTATGGTGGAATAGATTGTAATTCAGGTAAATTTTATAAGATTTATATTTAATAAAATCCCTTTTACTTGATAGAATAACAATCATCTAATTATAAATGTAATAATAACTTGTTTATTATGCATGATTTCTTTAAATATAATAATTAATGAATTTGGTTTATTAAAAAATTAAATTAAATGTAGTCTTTAAATAAAAAACTAAAATGTACAGAATCAAAAAATTTACAATTTTAAGAATGATTTTAATTATATTATTAATTATTTTTAATTAGTTATTTAATTATTTATTAAATTTAATTATTACATATATGAATATATTTTATATAAAACATTATTTTTAGTTTTTAAAAGTCATTGCTCATTTTATTGGAAAATTCATCTATTCATTGAAAAAAAAAAAACCAAATAATATTGTAGTATGACGAAAAGTTTTAAATTATTTTTAATTTTACTTTCAGGTACAAGTTTTGCTGATGCTCTTGGTATGTGTACAATGTTGCCACCGTCAAAAAAGAAAAAAGAAAGTATTTCTTTAAATTTATCAAAATCAAGTAAAATAGACCAGCCAAGTGCACAGTCAAGTCCAGTTATACCTTCCAGTAGTAAATGTGTACTGCATAAAGTGAAGAGTGAACCAGATAGTCCAGAAGTAATAAATCATAAATTATTTATTATTACCTTATTGTTTATTTAAGTATTGAAAAATTGTATAACTACTTTCATCATTACAATATTATTTAATTTATTTTTAAATATACAACTTTTTCAGTCTTTACCTCTTTTGTCGTCTAATGTTAAATTAGAGCCACTTAGTAGAATCGACGAAGAAGTTGATTTAGCATCAACTTTACCAGAACCTAGCCCACATTATAAACCCTTGCCACATTTGAATCATGCTCAGCGTAGACAAGACGAAGATAATATGTTATCTCAAGTAATTTATGCTAAAAATCAAAGGTGATTTAAATATAAGAAATTTCTTTTAAAAACCAGCTTGCAATAAAACTTATATAAGAATGTTTATATTTTTTTATATACTTAATAAAAGAATATTACCCTGTTTAAGTAACATTTATTGCAGTTTGTACTTGAACGGATAATTTATTAAGTAAAATTCAGAAATATTTTCAATTGCTCAAAGAAGATTGAAATTGAATGAAATTTTTTATTAATAATTAAATTTAAATTTTGTATTTATATATATTTATTTATTTTTTTTTTTATTTTTTTTTTTTTTTTTTTTATAAATGTAAATTAAATTTATTCCATTGAAGTGTGTATAATAAATATTAAAAGCAACATGATGAATATATATTGCGGATATGTGTTCAACAGCATAATATTTATTTACAACTTTTCTATTAGCTAATAAACGATTTAATTAAAAAATTACGATGTAAGAATTTAGTATTAAGAAATTTCTTATTATAATTAAATTATTATTTGTAGCATATACTTATACTTTAATTATATCTTAAAAAGTTCGTTATGTAAACTTTAAATTTTAAAAGTAAAAACTAATCATATTTATTGTGATGTAAAATATTCTGTAATGGTTTCTACTTCATTTAACAAAATAGTTTTTAAATTTTTAATAATTTTAAGTAAAAAATTAATTATAAATAAATGTTGATTTTCATGTTTCTCATTAATTTACATTATTATTTAATAACTAAATTTTATAATTTTATAATTTTACAGAACAAAAGTATATTCGGGCAATAAGATCGGTTACACGAACGTACCAAGTCTTTATGAAATGTGTATTCGAGTACTTATTGAAAATATTGATGGTAAGTAATTTAAAACACTTTTTATAAAGTAATGAAAAGGACTAATTATTAACATCGATTTTTATTAAAGCTCTTGAGTTCACTGGTGGCGTACCTTATTATATAATTAAGCCTGTACTCGAGCGTGCTACACCCGATCAGTTATTCATACTGGAACATCATAATCCTTATTTAATTGAAGATTCGGATCCTCTTTGGAAATTTCATTGCAGCAAAGATTTTCGAACTAAGCAAAGAGAAGAGATGGAGACATGGCGTGAAATGTATATGGTAAATGAAATATCTATTTTTAAATTGTTATAAAGGTAGTTGTAATCGTAATTTTCATTTAAAATAATATATTCCCATAATTTCAAAAATATAAGTAGTTTATTAATTATTACTTTAAAAAATGTATTTAAATTATAAGAAGCGTTATTCTATATTATAGATTAATTATACTAAGTTCTTTCAATTAGTGTTTATCTCGCAATTTTAAGTTTAAAATAATTTCCTGAAATTAAATCAATAAAATGATTTTTTAGCGATGTCTTGACGAACGCGAAGCAAAACTTAAAGCTTTAACAGCCAATATAAAACAATCAATAGATAAATCAACACCTGTAAGATCAACAAAACTAGCATATGTAGATAATGTAGTAAAACCACCTCGAAACGTGTTACGAAAACAGGCCAAATATGGCACAGCCAATTCTTCAAGTAAAGTCTCAGATCTTAAAAAGAAGTTAATAGCAACATCTGGAAGTTGCAGCAGTAGTAGTGGAAATAGCGGTAGCATGTTAGAAGAAAGGATCACCGTACCTCCACCGCCCGTCGCAAGAATCCGATCGTCTTGTGAGTTCTTATGCCATCATAATAAAATTATTTTATAAAATTAATTTAATTACATTATTAATACATTAATAATTTCGATGTCCGAATGTTGAATCTAATGTAATAATTAATATTTCTAACTTTATACGTTTCGTATAATATTGAGTTTTTTAAAAATAATCTTTATACTATTTCATACTTATAAATGAGCATTTATATTTAAAAACATAAAATTCAAAATAAGTTAAAAACTTATGATATTTGCAATGTATATATAATTTACTATCGGTCACTATTATATCTATATAAAGTATTTTATTTTTTGGAATTTCAATTTTTATCTATTTATAATTTAACTAATTTTGTATAATATTTAATTTTAGCATCATCTACACTGAAGAAAACAAAGGCTCCTTTGATGGCAAAGGCTCTTCAGGCAATAAAAGGTCGATACAAGCGATAGTACCTAAAGTTGCACATATTTATGAAAATTAGTTGACAGAATTGATTCTCTTCTGTCCAACAATCGCGTATTTATATATATATTTTTTATTACGTTTCGTAATAATTTCTTGCTAACAGAACAGCATTAATAGTGTCGATAAAATGTAACAAAATCGATTTTGTTTCGACAATTTCACAATTTATAAAGTAAAGGAAGCAAAATAGAAAGTTAAAACGTTATCAAAATACTTCTATGAAAATGTGCTTCAAACATTGTACTATATACATTGTGGAGATAAAAATTGTAAACTGTGTACCTTTACTATACGCAACTTAAATTTTTATGCAGATCTTTGAATAAAAAGATAAAGAGTTTGAGAGGAAAGCAAAAGAACAAGACAGAGATAGAGAGAGAGATAGAGAGAGAGAGAGAGAGAGAGAGAGAGAGGGAGAAAGGAGAAAATATACAAAATATACAAACGTAAATTTTTTAAATAAAATACGTTGTGATTTACAACAAGAAATATTGCTTCTGTATTTACTACTTATTTTTTAACATTTTGTTAACAAATGTTACAGGTATTACGTTTTTAAATATATTTTACAAGAATAAATGAATGTATGTAATTATGGATTGTATCTATAAAAAAAATGCCTTATGTTGAATTAAAAAATAAATTGATGATTAATTATAGAAAAAATATGACATATATAAAAAAAATCTTAAAAGCACGTGCAATTTTATTCTGTTGAAAATCTAATCTGAATTATATTGTTTTCGCGACGTATATTAAACTCGACTGAGTTAATAGTATATTTCTGTGCACTTTATTAGAGTTAAGCTTTTATTATTTATATTCTATTCGATTTTATACTTAGTACGATGATTAGTAGGAAATCAAATTCCTACGACACAATGAAATACGATGTACAAAATTTTTTGTATTTACATCCATTTTTATCGTTCATACATTCAAATACAACTAAAAATTTAATAATTTATAAGATTAAAATGAAACTAATTAGAAAAAATTATTTTTAAAATTAACATTACGAGATTTTTTGTAATAGTTTTTAAATATAAATTTTAATGGACTTAATTAAAATCATTTATATAATTTAATATACTGTGATAATTTTACTTATATACATTCGTAATACATTTTATATTAAAAATATTAAATATTGACTTTTTCTTTTTAAGAATTTAAATAAATTTGGAAAATATATAATGAAAATTAAATTTCAAATACTATATTAATTACGTTTCTAAGTATGTAATATAATTAGAAGTTTCAATAAATAATACATGAATTTTTTAATTTTTTGTATAAAAACAGTTGAAGTTAAAATTAGCTAACTACTTGCAGGTACTATTTATTCACACGTTAAATAAATATTTTTCAATTCATGTTCAGGAAAGCTAGTTCCATAATATTTATTTATAATAAAACATGTACTTAAAAAATTGATCTATTATAAAATATTTAACTATACAGATTTATTTGTATATTTAATTTTTTTTTTTGTATTTCATTATATATTTTTAGAATAAGCATTTGTCTTACTTTTATTTCTGTGTGATAAAATTCAAACTTATAAATTAATAATAACATGACTTTAACATTACATATTTTACGTTAGTTTTTGTTAAATAAAGTTTTCATTAATATAATTTGTTTACTTATATTTTACATTAAACCCATCTAATTATAATTGAAATATTTACATTATTTAAAAATATGAACTCATTAATAAAAAAAAAAATTAATTACTTTTTGTCCTTCCAAAGCCCATTGGATTTATATTTTTTTTCAAATTTTAACTCTTAAGTACAGACATATAATTTTGTTTGCATAGAAAACCCCTGTTATAAATGAATCAATATGAGTTATGAATTGAAAAATCTTTAAATATAGTTTGAATGTAATACTAAGGCTTCGTGTCAATATGAAAATATGGATATCAATATTTTATCTTTGTACACAGTACATATAACATGATAAAAATATTTGTTTCGGTAAAAGAATGTTACTGATTAGGAATTAATTTTGTATAAGAATAATTTTCCTAATTAAGTATAACCTCATTGATTATATACTACTTAGTGAAATAAAACTTAATTATTACATACTAACAATTAAATATAAGTTAATTACCACATACTAGTTATTTTACATCAAAACATTTTTACATTTATAAATGTTATCAATAAGTTTAATAAGTTTTACTACTTAATTTTTAAAGTAATATTTATAAACTGAACATTGTTAACTTTAACGTACTAAATTTTATTTTAATAAACTAAAATTATTAGATAAAATTACTAAACTACTATTAAAATAGTAAACATTTTAACAAAGATTAATGATCAACCTTAAAATTGAATAACTTTACAGTTCATTTGTACATGTATTAATACTTACAACATATAATTTATAAAATTGTGACATTACTTAACTATAACTAATAGATATAAACTTTTTTTAGATTTTAATATCAAAAAATTTTTTGTCGCTTTATATTTTGGAAATCTTAAACCCTTATGACACCCTTGTAAAGATTTATTAACTAAATATTTGTTGTCATTATAAACAGCACTAACATCTTAATATATACAAAATTGTATATTAAAGTAATCATAAAATGTAGTAGATACAAATTATAATTTCAGGTTGCTTGAAAAATAAATTGTTTGTTTTTAAATTTTTCTTAAAATAATTTATCAATTTATTACTAAAAAGTTGCTTAAAATATAAAACGACTTTGATCTACATGCAAATGAAACTGAAAAATCGCATGCCCACAGATATTGATTTTTGTCATACATGTTAACTTAAATTATACAAAAATTTTCTTCATTGCTTATGTTAGTAATAGGAAGTAACACTTTAAAATTTGATGATGCTCTTCCTTACTTTAGTTCATTTTTCTTTTTTCATCACATGTATACTTTAAAGTCGTAGATTTTTATTTACATTTTCATTTAATAGTAAGTAGTTTATGATGAGAATACTAATTGAGTTTTTGTCACAGCCACAATGGTACCATAGTTTCAATAGAATTACGGAACCCCCACTGAGCTATCGATCGAAGAAAGGTCAACATGGCTTTTCAATTCTTTAATGAATTTAATTATATTTGGTTTAAAGAACTATTATTGCTAATATTTACGCGAGAAGTTACGTCGTGCCGATACAAACAAATGAATTATTTTTGCCGTAATAACGTAGCGAAAGAATGCTTGAGCAATTTGTTGCATATGCTTGAGGATTGACAGTAGATGTGGGATTCGATGAGCCACTGAAATATTAATGATATGACAATTAAATAAAATAATTTAGATCGAGTTAAAATGAAAATTATAAATGAATTCGATTTAATTTGAATAAAAAAAAAAAAAAAAAAAAAACATATATATATATATATATATATATATATATATATATATATATATATATATATATATATATATATAATATATATATATGCTATTTTTATATGTCGAAATATTTTAAAACTACATTATTTTTTAATAATTATGAATTATTAATGTCTTGGTTATAAAGCAATATGTAATACATTATAAATTTTGAATCACTTGAAAATTCGAGTATTATATTGAAAAACTGGTACAAAAACATGAAAAACCATCTAATAATTAGATTATATTAATTTAGAAAATTAATTGTTCCTGTAAGCTTACACTTCTTTCATTGTATTTCATAACAGACAACAATTTTTTAATTTTATTGTGTTTAATTTATATGCTATTTGAATTTTATCGTTTCTTAACATCCAAATACATTTATATAATAATCCATGTAGTATATTTATTTAAGTGAGACTGCAATAAAAGCTTTCTGAGTGTATTGTAAGTGATATTTACAATAAAGTAAATATTACAATTGTGCTTGATTCTTATTGTATCTTTTTCGAAAATGCGGATTACCTACTAAAGTAAACTTTTAGTAAAATGTGAGCCTATTATCTATGTTTCTGGTAATTTATAAGAAAAAAATGACATTAAGATGTGCAGATAAAATCTCACTATTTTACTATTTTTACATTTCGAATAATAGCTTTTGCTGCATTATAATATATCAATTAAAATTCAAAATAACTCACGTATTTCCAGTCTTGATATACTCCTGAGTTGACCATAAGTGTACTACACCATCCAAACTAGAACTAGCTATAAACTCACCATCAGAGCTCCAATCTAAATTCATCACTGAGTCCTGATGACCTTTTAATTCCGTAAGCATCGCGTTCGTTGTTAAATCCCAAATCGATATACATTTATCATCGCCTTAAAAAAAACATTGAAGCTATATTTAATAAATAATTTCAATTTATAATTTATCGAAGGTACATAAAACCCTCTCTATATAAACTCTAATTCATTCGGACCTTGGTCAATATTAACGTTAAAAAAATAATTTAATTCAATGTATATTATTGAACTATTCATAATTAACATATGTCCGAGACAATATAATTACACTTTACCTAACGGACAATATATATTTAGATTAACTTGTAAATCTCAGTATGTTTAATATGAATATATACTTTCAAATACATGCTCAAGCACAGGTATGGCAAAACTTACCAGCAGAAGCCAGGTACTTTCCATCAGGACTAAAGGCAAGGCTAAAGATCGTTGACTGAGCACCTACATATACCCTTTTCAAATTACCATCATCTTTATCCCAAAGTCGAACAGTTTTATCAGATGAACCAGTTGCCAAGTACCGAGTATTTGGATGAAACCTTACGCACTGAAATGATACATCCAATTTTTAGAATCTCAACTATTTATCGATAGTAGATTAAGAAAAGTCATTGTTATTTTACATTCACATCCATAAAATGACCAGCATATATCCTAAGTGGAAAAGTTCTGTCTAACGACCATAGTTTGGCTGTCCTATCATGCGAACCAGTTGCTATATACAAATTAAATACACTTGTATCCATACACCATATAGGATAATTATGACCACTGAAAAAACAAATTAATAATAATGCACTCATTTATTGACAGTAACTCAATAATGCTTATTAAGCATATTTTCATTATTTAAAATTGAAAACAATGAAATAGTATAAAATTCATAACTATATCATTAATAACTATATTTTTATAATATACAATAATGTCAATTTATAATATACAATAATACACAATAATGTCAAATAATATTGTATTTTTTAACTTTATTTTATATATTAATATTTATTAAATTATTAACTTCAAGCTTTATTAAAATTACATTAATATCAATATTGAAGTAAACAAATTTTATTATTCATTTTTAATTAAGTAGATCGATTCGTTGTAAATATCAAGACTCAAAAATAAAATTTAAAATAAACAATATTTTTAAATATATAATTCACCTATAAACAGCTGCACAAGTATAATCGTTGAGTCTCCAAGCTCTCATGTCTCTGTCGCTAGATACCGAAAGAAGAACCTCAGGCTCAGCAATAAATCTCATGTCATGGATAACATCCGAGTGACCTCTGAGTACAACTGCACCAGCTTCATCGCTGCAATATTATGTTAAAGACATTTCGTATTTAGAAATTAATTACTAAGTATTTATACATAACTTATATTTATGTATATTTATATTTATATATAATTTATATAATATTTACCCTTTAAATCGATCGATCTAACTAATAATTCTTTAAAATAAATAATACAATTTTGATAGATCATTATAAAGCAAGTAATGAATTTACGATTTTCTATTTTTTTTAATAAATATTTTGTAAAATAAAGAAGATAAATTCCACGTAAGGAGTAAATCCGGACGTGTTAATTGTAAACAAATTTGTAAGTTAAGATAAAAATTGATATATTGAAATATTTACCATTGAATATGAAAGATAATTTACCATTCCATCTGTCTCTAATCTATTAAATATCTTATAAATATGAATACAAAGAAATGTACTTAATAACTTACATTTCATCGTCGTCTAATGCTTCAACCGTGGACGAATGATTACAAGCCAATTTAATACTCGGATTTCTAAACCTTGGCCTTGTAAGAACTGTTTCACCGATACCCCAAAGTCTAATTTCTGCTGTACTGAAGCCTGCAGCTAATTTATCCATACTCGATGTAATAATACCGCAACTAGCACTTTAAAGTAATGTAAAATTTCTTTAAAATAAAAATCATGTTATTTTGAAAACTTAGTTATTTCTTTAAATAAACTTTCAAAGACGATTTATTTGCTTTGCTTATTTTATTGAGAATACATTATGTTATATTAGGTTACTGTAAAAGTAAAAAGCAACGTTTAGTTGCCCATTATGTAATAAATAAATTTTATCTACAATTATTTTTAGCGTTTTATCATTGTGCAATTGTATAAAATTTGTTTTCCAAATTTTGCTGTTACCATTTAAAAAGAACTTAACGAAAACAAAAAAAAAAAAATGAAAAAAAATGAAAAAAAATGATGCTTTTTAAAGTAACGCATGCGAGCAATCGATAAAACAAAGGTAAATCCAGAAATTCTTAAAAGAAATTTATTAGACATTATATATAAAAAAAATCCATTAAGTTTCATTACTTTTCAATGGCATTATTAACCGCGAATATCCGAAGCGGTTGGTGAGCACTATTTCGCATCAATCTGATAGCTTCCTGTAACTCGCGCATCTCGCGATCAACGCCGGTGCCACAGGGCTGCTCGACGTGGCCATTTATCGTTATGTCACCTTTCTTCTCGTTTTCCTCTTTGTTTTCATCGACCACGGAGTACAGGTCCGATAGGTTTTTAATCACCGTAACATGAGTATTAATTACCTAAGAATTAAGATAAATAATTATTAACAAATTTATTGCTTTTAGTATATAGTAATTTAAACTGTTGGCAATGCCAAACAGAGTACAGGACATGGATTATGCTTAAATTATTACTATCAAATTTCTTTTTTAATCGAGTTTTGATCTCAATAGTTATTTATTAAAAATTTGCGTTTCATTTGAAATAAAATATTACTTTGAAAAATTATGGAGTAAAATGTATCTAACAAAATATATAGTATATAATAAAAATGAATTTTATATTTATTATATATTTATATATTAGCAGTCTATTCACAAATTTTGAACATTAAATATGGCGATTTTTATCGATTGACACTTGAAATTAGAGTTATTAAGTGACATTTAGGCAATACTCTCTGTTAAAACAAAAAGTAAAATATTTTTAATTATTATTTATAAATATTATTTGTAAATAAATACAATTAACATGTTTTACACATTAAGTTTAAAATACATATAATAATTTATTATTTTAATGAATGTTTCGATTATTGGGGATTTTAGTAAATTTAGTAAATTTAAAAAATATAAAGTGCATTATAAATGTTAAAGGAAGTACCATTTTCTTTAAATAAGTAACATATTTAAACAAGATTTTTTTAATCTTACCTGCATCAAAATAACATGGCCATGCTTAGTCAAGAATTTTTGTAAGATAATATGGGCTTCATCTGACAAATCAACTTTATATTTTCTAGTTCTAAAGGCATTAACAAAAGGTCGCAGTTCAATATCTTGTATAGAAAAGACACTCGATAGTTCTTCCAAGAAATCCCTCTCTGTATCAGAATTAAAGTCTGCCTGATGACTCTTCATAAACTGCACAGCTGCTTGCCGATTGCCAGCATGAAGCATTTCAAGATATAGGTGACAGAACACTGGATATAAAATACTTTTTAATTCCATTTTAAGTTTATCACTTGACAGTCCATTTATACAATGCTTTAGCCTGAAAAATTCATGAGAGTTTTGTTACAATAATAACCTTTTAAATTAATAATAAAAGTAGAATATAAAGGAGCAACTAACTTTTGATAAGCTTGATCTGCTGCTGTTACATCGTTAGAAATTGCACTGAAAACTATGGAATTATCTCTGGAAGTACTACACTCGGCTGTAACACTCAACGTCATCTCCTCACTACTGCGACAGTAAGTCTTTTCTGGTTTCTTAAATATGTCTATGTCCTGGAATTAATAAATATTTATATATATAAACAATTATAAAGAAACTATAACCTATATTTTTTATTTTACTTTTATGAATGGTTAATAAATGAAAGCTATTTCAAGAAAATACAAAATATTTTCAATTTAACTTAAGTTTCTGCTCCTTGAATTCTAACCAAGGCAAATAAAATAATGTAAATTAAGCAATTATAATTTAAATAATGTCAATTACTTCAAAATTGTTAATTTATTCTTATAAATATCAAAATACAATAAAATTGATAAAAGATTTACTAAATTCAAGTAATTATTTTTAATAATATTATTAATAAAAACAGTATTAGCGCTCGTGTACTAAAAAAATTATTTGGATATATTTGTCTGTATAATAAAGATTCCAGATAAGTTTAAATATTTTTAATTAATAGAAAGATTTAGGTGCGTTTGGTCTGGAATCGTATTAAACTTTAATTATATCAAAGGCATTCCTTGCTTTTAAAAGTAGAATAAACGACAAATTTTATTACATTGCAACTGTACTTTCAGTTTTTGATTTTGACTAAAATTCAGGTTTATAACTTCCAATCGACGAATTATTGACAATTATAATAACTTACAAAAACTAGGCTCCATTCATAAATATAAATTTTGCATTCGGATAACCTATATATACTATTATCACATTTAATTAAAAGTATTGAAATTTAAGAGCTGCTTCGTGTGTACAATATTTTACAATGTACCTTACGTGAAAATTCTCTAAAAAATTAAACAAAAAGTATCTTTACAGCCAACTAACCAGTTTAAAATCCATTCCCGGTTAAAATATACATAAGTGGAAACACGCGAGAACTGCCGTAGCATCTACGTCGATAAGTTAAAATCCAAAAACCATGATGGAATTTTCTAAAGAAATGGTTGATGAATGCACGAGTTCAAAAAAGTTCATCGAGTGAAAAATTGCTTAAGAAATCAATATCGCGCCGCTTCAGATCCTTTACAAGGCGTAAACAACATTAGAGGTTATGTTGTACGAGACTGCCGCTGTCGTTGCGGCGCATTGCTTGGGATTGTGATTTAACGACGAGCCTAACCTGGTAGCGTCGACGCTTCAGATAGGATTCAACGGTCGCGTTGATGACGTCGAGCTTTGTGCGTTTCATCTTCATCTGGTCAGAACGTTTCGTTGAGCTCGTGGACGTAACTTGTCGACAGGGCAGAACCATGAAGACCGAGCACGTTGGACGCCATCGGGAAAAGACAGAAACAATGTATAAACACGCATCAGCGCCTGTCTTTACGTTGTTACTGCTACTTCTTTGACGACTATTCCGGTATTTAATACTGTATCCAACTGAACTAACAGGCAATCAGCGACGAATTATAAACAAATGTCTATATTTTGGAGTCCTCTGAAGCCTCGATTATCAAGCAGTGCTCGAAGCTTTGGAGCCTTAGAAGCAGTGCTTTGAAGTTTGGATACTTGACATGAACGTTAAAACGGTTAGACGAGGAACTAGCTTTCGGGCATGCGCAGGTCTACTCTCATTAGCTCGAATGTGCATAAATTGTAGCTTTGTTGAGATAAAAGATTTTAGGTCATCAAGCTACAGCGCGAAAAACTTTAATTTTAATTCGCATTGAGTTTTATAAGTCGGTGGATCACATCAAATCACTAGGAAAGCCCTTGTCAATAATCAATAGAATTCGTTTCAATTTCAGTTCGATTGAGATCAATTTTTTTTTTAATTATCTCAAGAACATACTAATACGTTTATTGTACAGAATTGTCGATGATAATGTATAGCTAATTTTTATTTTTGATAGATACAAAACGACTTCATAAAGTTTAAAGAAGATATTTCTTCCTCGTTTGTATGCTCATTATAGTTCCTTAATTCATATTTTTCAATAAAACTTATAAAAAAAAAAATAGAATGAAAATTAAAATATGAAATAGCCTTGTCTAATAGAAAATATTATACCTTGTTAGTCACGTTAATTACTACTTGAAAACATAAATTTATTATTAAATACTTATAGTAATTTAATTATTAAATATTATTACCTACTACTTAATTAGAGAAATAAAACTATCATATATAACATAATCGCTGTGGATGTAGTATGTGATTGACTTTTTAAGCAACCACAGTTATGCAAAATTACCAACTAAAATAATTAATTTTTTTCTACAAATATTTTAAAAATGAGTAGAATATGGTTTACATAATTTTTTATTACTTACAGATTTTTAATATGATCCATTCAATATTAAAGATAACCATCATTAAAGATAATTTAAATTGCATTGAGCACCAATAAATTACATTATAAATAAGCATAAAATAATAAATTATATATAATAAATATAAAGATTTAATAACGAAAGTAAAGAATATTTCTTATATATAAAATGTAGATATTAATGAAGTTCATAAAAAACTTTCAAAGTATAAAATTATGTAGTCGATCGTATTATGTATCGATCATTGAGTAACGAATGCGTGAAAATTCTAAAAAGCTTACAAATAATAAAGTAAAGTTTAAATAAATTTATATAATTTTATACTAAATTTCTATGTAAATCACAAAACCATTGATTGTGTGTATATTCATATCAACAAAGTAATATAATGTAACTGTCTCAATAAACATAGGTCATTTAAATTAAAAATTGTTTTATTATTTATTTATTAAAACTTAATATATATATATATATATATATTTATTTATTTATCTAAGATTTAAATGAATCGTAATATTAAAAAATAAGTAATCTTTCGTAATTGTATCATTTCCTTTTTAAAAGAAAATTCATTTACTTATTATGGATACAGCATTGATATACCTTTAGAACAAATAATATGAAGAAATCATACATAATGATATCATAATTATAAGGCTTAATTTCTGAATATCTTTTTTATAATAGAAATAAGCATATAATTAAATGTAATATCTATTGTATAAAATTTTTTTCTTTATAATTTTGACATTCTATTTCAATTTAAAATTATTTAAATACTATTTTGTCATTTTTAACTAATTAACAAATAAAAAATGATCTATATCGCTAATAAAATATGAATAAAAAATAATTTTAATAAAACTATAACAACATTTTTAATTATGATTTTTTAATCTAAATATTGAAAAGATTATTAAAATCAATAATTAATAATCGATCGTAATTAACAAATAAATATTACAGTAAATATTACAAACAAATAAAATATATGGTTATAAATAAGTTTTATTAGAAATAGTATTATTTTAATTACAAGCCATCGTTAAAATAATAATGAAAATATAAAATTTTTATAATATTTCAAATATTTTATACACTCACGATAAGAATATAAATTATTTATAAAAACTTATACTTTTTATATAGTATTTTTATTATATTTTTTAGTATTTGTAGAAAATATAATATTTTTTATGAAATAAATCATTTGTTCACTTATTTGTAAGTGGCGGTATAACAAAAACCAATGAATGAAAAGTTAAACCACGCAAATTGAAATATATAAGAGTGACTGAAATTGGTAAAAATGTAAATGATTTATAAGTTATACACATTTTTCATTCGTTACATTTACCAATTATATATAAAAATTCTTTATTTTACATATTTTTAAACCATTAACCGCTTATTATTTATGTCGCTGCACAGAAATTAAAAACAAAAATTATAAATTTAAATTATACACTTTACACTAAAAGTTATTGTATTTATAATTTAGGAACCTTCACATATATGATATATATATATATATATATATATATATATATATATATTTGTTTATTATGGTAAATCAGTATAGAAAGCGTAATATTGCAACGACGGTAGAATAAAACTTCTACACAGCTTATATTCCTTACACGGCACATAACGATTAACATACGACGCACGCACCCATCAAATGTTTACAAGGGCAGCATTTACTTTAGCTTAAACGAGAGAATTTTTAGTTTCCTTTCTTCATCAAATTTGCACGTTCCTGGGCGATCATTTTCATTCGCCGTTGTATCGTGCTCTCTTATAATTCGGAGATCCGTGTTTGGCTTACTTAGTAACTTAAATACTGTAGACTATTTACTCGGCAAAAGAGAGAAAGAAGAAGTTTTTGTCTTTTTCTCCGCATTTCAGCGGTCTGGTTTATATTTTCCATTACAGTACTGTCAGTACGCGCGTAGATACCGACAAAAAGAAAAGAAATATAAGAGGTGCCGAAGCCTGTGCTCCATTGCATAAAAAGGTTGAAGAAGCCGCATAGGTAAATGAGCAATTTTTTATGGTTCTGTTCGAAATTTAGTTGACATAATTAAGTTCTTTTTATTTAGACTAATAAAAAGCGAAAAGGTCGTATTGTAAAATTTAATTTAATATTAATTGCATTTACTTCTTTTTAATTTTTTTATCTTCTCATCTTTGATTTTTTGTTTGTTTGTTTTTTTTTTTTTTTTGTTGTTTTTTGTAACCGAATAATTTGTAATTTTTGTTATTGCTATTGTTATGGTTATTGATGCACATTTAATAATTTTGTTTGTTAAATACAGGCATTGTGAACAAAATTTAAGTTAAAAAATATTGTTACTTTATTTTTAAAAAATTTTAACATAATTTATATATCATATTTTATTATTTATAGTATTTATTGAAATAAGAAGTAATCCATTTTTTAGTTTGGTATATTTTGAATATTTTTCAATTAAAAATATTCATATTTAAATTCATTATAAGGTATTATATATGTATGTATATATATATATATATATATATATATATATATATATATATATATATATATATAGTTAGTTTTATTTTACATAAAAGTTAAAAACTATAAAACTTTATACTCAAATGTAATATAACAATTTACTAGTGTCTGAATATTTATTAATTAATGGATCATTAATTTTATTTATTTTCAGTTGATGAAACACCGAGTTATATTACTTACAGAATTAAATATATACAAATATTGCTTATTGTTTATTATAAACCACTCATTTATATTTTTTTATTTTTATTTCGTATCGATTTCGTAGTGTAAATGATTTGTATTTTTAATAGAGATTTAGCCCATTTACAGAAGGGAAACACAAGAACTGATTAACTTATTTTTCAAAGTTATAGAAATATTAATTCAGATAGTCAACTTTAGTTTCGTAATTCTTATCCTGTTTATCATACTTTTTAGAGGTTTTTATCACCTACACTGTTAGAATACTGAGGCTAAATGATGTTAACCACTATATAATATTACATCATAAATTAATTTTAATTAAATTTTTTTTTAATGTATTTAATTTTAAATGAATTTTGTAACAATAAAAAATTTTTTTGTTTATTATCTTGTTACTCTTAGTACATGTAAAATTCAAAGTATATTGCATAGTATTAATAAATTGTCGTTCTTCTATTCATATTTCTATAATCTTTTAATCTGAATTTAATCCATCTTATATACAATAAGAAATATATTTTCTATACAAATTTATTACATGATTTAATAGATAATTCTACGATAAAGAATTTTATATAATTATTTATGACATTATCTTGTTAAAAATAGTTCTAATCTCAGTTTCATATTATAATTATTAATATAATAAATAATTTAAATATTTTACTTATTTAATACTAGTTGTAGATTTTATAGAAATTTGCAAATATAGAATAAAATGTTTTTTCATTATTTAAATTATAATTCAGATAATATCAATTATTATATTATATGAATAATGTCATATACTACTGTAATATTTATATGCATTATAAAGGTGATATTTGTGTGTGTGTGTGTGTGTGTGTGTGCACGCGCGCGCGCGTGCGTGCGCTTATATATTATATATTCAAATGGTTATTTCTTTACAATAAATTTTTCTCTTAACTTTGAGTTTATGTTTATAATCATAAAAATAGAATTGGACAAATGAAAAATCCTTTTATATTATTATTTATTTTATAATTGCTAAATTCAAATAATTATTTATAATCACGTAGTATGTATTGACAAACTGATAATACTTAATTTGAGAAATAGAAAATTTTAATTCTTTATTTAATAACAGATTAAATAGGAGCTGAAGAAAAAACCAATTATTTACAGAAGTAAAAATGTTTCACATAAGAGGGCTTACACGAACAGCAGCCACATTAAAACTCAATCAAGAACTAATACAATCAGCCAGTATAATACGTCTGCAAAATAATCGAAATTATGCTGATCATAAGATTCCTGACAGACTTAAAGATATTCCTACTGCCCCTAACCCTAAATTTTTTGATATGATAGAATATTTCTTTCATCGAGCATGTCAAATTGTTGAAGATAAATTAGTAGAAGATGTGGGAAAGCGATCAAGATTGAGCCTTGAGGAACGTAAAAAAAAAGTTAAAGGCATTCTCATGCTTATGCAGCCTTGTGATCATATTCTTGAGACGACTTTTCCTTTAAGACGTGATTCTGGTGACTATGAGATGATCACTGGTTACAGGGCTCAGCATTCAGCACATCGAACACCATGTAAAGGAGGTAAAATGGCATTTAAAAATTATTGTTAAATTTTCTTTGAAGATAATATTTATAAAACTTTAATAGTTACAGAAAATCCATAAATTAAAAAAAAAAAAAAACAATTGCTCTTAAATAAATTTTAGTAATGATAATACAATAGATAATATGCGTTTGTATTTAAAACAAAAAAATTATTGATTATTCTACGTCTATGTATAACAGCAACAGTAATGATAATTTTTTAACATCTTTAATAATATTAATAATTTTTAATGCATTCAGATGATACTCAGTTATTTTATAATGATTTCACAATTTAATTTTACCTTATAATGAAATCGATTTAATATATTCGTTTTTTTTTACTTTCAACTGATATAAAGATTTGTAGATTTTTTTTTTATTCAAAATACTGTCTGGTATTATACTATAATTTGCTTTGGTACATAATTTCACAAATTAAATAAAAAATATAGTAAATTATCATATTAAAAATAATATCTTTTATAGTTCTTATTATTATGATATCGTTGTTGCTTCATTTTCGGTAAATGGATATTAATAACTTTAAAAATTTAGTAATAAATATTTTATGCATTCAATGAAGTATGAAATTAATCCATGATTTTAAATATATTGCACATTCATTTTATTCGTTATACTAAATTAATGGAACAGAAATTGTAAGCTATTCGATAAAAATACTTTAAATGCAATTGAACCATAAACATCAATATGGAATAAAGATAAACAATTCAATGCATTTTTAAGTATTCAAATAAATTTGAATATGTTTGTGCTAATAATTATTGTTAATATAATGAATTTATATAATTAACAATTCTTAACAATTATTTTTGCTATAATATTGCTGTGAGAAATAAAGCTACAGCATATATATATATATATATATATATATATATATATATCCTCTTGAAATATCTTATGAGAAATAATATTGACATAAGTGAAATACAATTCATGCAAAATATAGATGTAATAATTGTATGAGGAAAAGAATAATGTAGTTTTTTATTTTATTTTTAATGATATTGAATTATTTGTATATATATATTACCATCTTTACTTCGATTTATCATTTTATACGCTGGAACTTGATCAATTTTAATAATAAATGTCTTAATCATTGTATAAAAGAAAATAAAGATGAATATCTGCAGATGACATAATACCTATGAATGAAAAAAAAAATAATATATACCACCAAATATTATACTAAATTCATGATTTGACGAATAGATTAAACGACTATAAATGTAGATGATACCATCACAGAAGTAGAAATTATAATCACTTAAATTTACTAAATTGATTTTGTTCATCAATTAATATTACTAGTCATTATGCAATATCTGTATTAGAGGCCATAGTCTAATAAGTTATGATATAAACCAAATTATCACCATAATATTTTTATAATTTAAATATAATGAGTAAAGAATAGACACCTAAAATACGATAAATAAAAACGTGTAAAGAATATGAATTTTTTAATAAATTATTCGAATCAATTATTAAAAGATAAGGAAATTCTAATTCTATGTAATACACTAGTCTAACGTATTAAACTATTGTAATGTGATATCCGAACGTATTAAAACATTACAAATTTAGAACAATTATTTTATAATTAATATTATAAAGCCACGTATATAATAGCTAATTATCATCTTTACTATTCCAAATGAAATGTTTAATTAAATAAAACAAACAAAAAAAAAAAATATATATATATATATATATATATATATAATTGCTTTCAAGAATAATATAATATAAAATTGTTATTTATTACAGATGTTTATATAAAATATGAACTTTTTAATTTTTAAATTCGTATCAAATTCAAGTAATTATATTATGGGTAGCATATTACCTTATAATAATTGTAAGATTGTAAAAGGTGCCACAACAAAAGGCAAACACGCGTTTTGATTATTAAATTTCGATTGGTATTTATTTAATGAGCCTGATCAATATGTAACTCACATACTCACAGACAGAGTTTGTATTTGTTAGAAATATTTTAACATGTGCAATTATGGAATATTGATATGGAACTAGTTAGTATACTCTGTCGGTCTTGACAAAAAAAATCAATGTCTATATAAAATATTAATTAATTGATAGTATATCTACTATTTATACATTTCATACAAATTGACTTTTATTCACATTTATAATATAGACAGATGTAACCCTGAAATATATGATCGAAAATACACGTTATAACGAACACAATCGATAAAACTGAATAAGCTATTGCTGATTAATAGATTTGCGGTTTACACGTAGTTTATTCAAGAATAATCTGAATGAAATTGTTATAACAAACATTTAATAGCAATTCTTCGTTAAATAAAAATAATAAACTAAATGTATAACATTCTATAAAATTATGATACGTGGTTTAACAAAAAAAAAAAAAAATAATATTTAATATAGATCTTTATATATATATATATATATATATATATATATAAAGAATATGTAATAGATTTAAAACTCTTGCAAATCTAGATCTTGCATATCTTATAATCGCGTTGAACAAGCACAAATTGATATAAGGCAAAATAGCCTTTTATTTTCAATATATCATGTTTATACTCAAAAAATTCAAGTAAATTATATAATAGCAAATATATCAAACTAACAATTAACGCATATAAAAAGTTGCATAAAACATAGAAGAAGAAGGATAAAACCGGAGGTAATCGTCGATCGGATTTCAAATATTGAGTTTATACATTCGTTTCCCTAACTAAATATATATAGCTTCGTTAAAAAAAATCGTATTTAGAAAACTTTATATTATTTAAATCATTTAATAAAACCTTAAATCATTATATTGCCATAATCTACTATTTAAAGTTAAAAAACATATTTCAAAAACATTGCTAAATAATAAGATTCTTTGCATACACTAATAGCACAATAAAGTAATAATATATTCGAAGTCATTACTCCATTTTGTTATATAGAATTAATTTAATTACGATATTAATGAATTAAATAAATATAATTAAATTTTCATAAATATAAGAATAAATAAATAAATATAGCTTTATTTAATATGAATTTTTGCATAGATAAATTTAAGATACAACCATTAAATAAAAAAAGAAATTTATTTATTATAAATTCTTGAATTAAATCCTTGAAATTTACAATTATTTTTTATAGAAGAATCTGATAAATAATATTGAAAAAATTAAACAAATATAAAAGAAGTAATAGCTTTTTTCGAACCGTTATGAAATGATGAAATTAAAAAAAAATATATATAATTATATTTAACATTTATCATTAATTATTTGTTCAAACATGGAAAAATATATTGTATATTAGGTTCTTTTTTCTATATAATAATATTTTATATATGAACGCATTTGTCATTGATAAATGATTAAAATATAACAATATTTCACATTTATAATTTAATAAGCAACAATTTGCTCCTGCTACTTAAGAAATTCGTAATGCTATTTCATAATGTATATTCGAATTAAAGATATGAGATTTCAATACGGGATGAAGTTATATAAATGTATAAAAATTTAATTGTATAGGCATTCCTCGAAGTTGATAATTAAATTTCATGAGCTATTATTAATTTCATTTATAAATATAAGATTTAGATATTTAACACGTGTGGGCAACCATGTTTTAAGTTAATAAAAATTTCACATAATATCAGTTATGGCATTATATATATATATATATATATATATATATATATATATATATATCAATTATTGATCTAGTAGAAGTTGTCAGTCTAAAGAATGACAAATAAATGCGAATTCGTAGCTGCAATAAACTACAGTTTAGAGAAGAATTTTAGAGATAGAACGACGAAACTATTGATAATAAATTTATATATGTATTTTTTAATATTATTTGGAGTAACGAATATTGTTTATAATGAATTCGAATATTTATGTGATAAAGTACGTTCTTTATGATGGTTATAATAGCGGCGAATAAAAGTTATTTTTCAATTTAATTGTCGATGTTGTAGGTATCCGTTTTTCGATGGATGTTTGTCGAGATGAAGTTAAAGCTCTGGCCGCTCTCATGACTTTTAAGTGTGCTTGTGTTGACGTCCCATTCGGTGGTGCTAAAGCAGGTATTAAGATCAATCCTAAAGAATACTCGGACAACGAGCTTGAGAAGATCACTCGCAGATTTACTCTCGAACTTGCAAAAAAAGGATTTATCGGTAAGTTGACGCTATTATTAAATGTAATGTTGATTCTTACTTAGAAAAAATTTTGATGCCGTGAAATGGACTATTCCTTCTTTAACAAAAATATTCAATTTTGCCCAATATAAAAGTATAAAATATGATCGATTAGAAAACGATTTAAAAATAATATCCAACTTAATGAAGAGATTTGCATTAATAGAAAAAACACTTTTCGCGTTCTTTTTCATACTTTGGTGTTTAATCTTAATTATTTATTGGCCTTTTGGCTTTATGTCTTTAATAATATATTAAATCGAAATTATTCGTATATTTTATACGCTGAATACCTACATTTTTATATTTAACATAATACTTTGTCGAGCATTATGATATTATTTTGGATGATGTACTGTAAGATTTGAAGTAATTAATCTCAAGAATTGTATATTTAATGGGTTTAATTTGTTAAATTGGTGTCAATAGATTCTACTGTTTAACTCTTTCTTTTTCAGTATCTTCTAATAGTATTCGTAGTGTTTTAATGTCAATACTGAATACTGAATTACGTGGATTATCTAAGATTTTGTATTTTTAATTTACTGTAATTTATATAAGCAAAAAATATTAAATATTTCTATGTCTGAGGTATGTGTACAATCGTGCTTGTGTTGATTATCATTTTAAAAGAATATAATCGAAATAAATTGAACGACTAATTCGTAATATGATAATGAAACTTATTGGCCTATTGTCTCAATTATTATAACTTCTCATGACATACTTTCCGAACTGTTCAAAGTAAAAATTTGTTTGCAAAACATAAAAATCGATAAATCACCGATACTATTACTATTTCTACTATATTCCATTTCATTAAAATCAATAATGTAACTTTAATGAAATTGAATTTATTCCATCTATATATTTCTCTGAAAATGTTTTCGTATTTTATGATGCCTCTTTTTTCCTCTTCTTTTTTTAAATTTATTTTTATTTAATTTATTTTTTTTTATATTTCGAAATGAATTTGCAATTATGTCAATTTTATACTTCTTTCTATTTCTTTTTTTCCTAGTTTTCACAAATCATACTATTTTCTCATTATGCCAAACTCATAAATATGTATGTCCTAAGCAATTAGCATTATCAGTAATTACAAGTTCGAAAGATTAAAGATTTGTAATGAATGAAGCGCATTCAGGTCTGTAACATGAATTTTCGCGCGCCATTAGGCAACGAGACAGACTTTCATTTGAATAGCCCATAAATCGATATTTAGCGCCCGTGTTCCTCCACACTTTAAAGGAGAGCAATGATTGTAGGACCGGGAGTTGATGTACCAGCTCCTGATATGGGCACGGGAGAGCGTGAAATGTCGTGGATCGCCGATACGTATGCGAAAACGATCGGGCACCTAGACATCAATGCTCACGCCTGTGTAACCGGTAAGCCGATCAACCAGGGTGGCATACACGGGCGTGTTTCAGCAACTGGACGTGGTGTCTTCCACGGTATCGAGAACTTCATCAACGAGGCGAATTACATGAGCATGATCGGTCTGTACTCCATCAATTAGCTAACCTTAGCACAGTTTATTTTAAAATATTGAATTGTAACGATTTTCAATGTAAGCAAGATTGATTGTTTTTTTTTCTTCTTTTTTATATTTTTGTCATAACTGTTTAGTTTTTTTTCTCTTTTTCTTTCATTAACATTAAAATCTATTAGATATATTAGATCTATTATATATATTAATATCTATTAGATATATAAAATTATTAGATATAGTGTCGAATATCATTAATTCATAAGGAATTTAAGACGGTAAGTCTGTTAATTATATATACGAAACATTTCTCGTGTAAAATGTACAGGTACAACACCAGGCTGGGGTGGTAAAACATTTATTCTGCAGGGCTTCGGTAATGTTGGTCTCCACACAATGCGCTATTTGCATCGCGCTGGGGCTACGTGCATCGGCGTTATCGAACACGATGGCTCCATCATCAATCCCGACGGCATTGATCCTAAGGTATGTTTTTTTTTTCACATACCTCTCAAGTGTAAATATGATAACATTGATGGTTTCGCACATGCGAATGGGTTTCGTATGTGCCCCATTCAATACCATTTTCACTCAAATGTACTTATGTTTCATAAAATCATTCTAAGAATGCCGGGATACTGTTACGCTTAATCGACTTACCACCATTTAAATTGATAATACCGTACGCATGACGTAGACGTGCGCGTTTACTTCAGCGACTACCCGACACTCCTTTTAATATAAGTGACAACATTCATTGAATTGTAACATACTTAAATACTTCACCTACTTACGATAAACAATCAAGACAATTGATGAAATCGGGCATAAATATCGGTAAAAGAATCTCCGAACAAATTGGATATAAATTAATCATTTACTCTAGCTTAGAATAATAAAACTAATAATTTAAAGAATTATGAACGGACAATAATTCATTACTTGACGACTCGATTATGCAGTTAAAGTGTTAATTTAACTTAGCACTTAGTTTATTTTTTTACTTACATAATATTCTAATAATATGATGAATTTATGATCGGTATCCCTGCAAATTTAAACTTATATTGTAATATTACATTAAATAGATCGATTTTTAACTTTAGAATGCCGGATCTTAAAGAATGCGTATTTTATTTCATATTCGCATAGTTGTTTAATAAAAATAGTACTTAGATAGAACGTTAATAAAGTTGCACACATTTCTTTAATCATATACTAGAAATTTTCCAGTTATTCAAGGTTACTTTAGAAGCAAATTTGTAAATATCACTTTTTACGCCTATGTCTTAATTATATAATATAAAATATCTATTTTTAATGTAATATATCGTCGAATATTATAAAGCTTATACGAAATTTTCAATTATCGAAATACATTTCCCTTAAATTTTTAACAATCCAGCAACATTTTTAGTTACACCACCACCATAACGTCGAATGCATTTTGCTTAACACACTTAAATAAGCACTCGCTTCCATCTTACATCGTCAAAGTAATTAGAGATGCATGGAAAAGCTAATAAGTGAATATCCGCTTAATATAATTTTTCCGCCTCTTATTGTGCATAAATTACATTTACTATTTACCGCGTATCGATCTATTTAATGCACATGTATAAAGAAATAATGTCAACATTAAAAAATAAACGTAAATAAGCAATAATTAACAATGACAAATGTATTCTTGGAAATATTATTTGCCCGTGTAAAAGTAAAAAATGTGTTATGATATCACGTAGAATAGCATAAATATACGATATATTTTTGATAAATAAATGATCGAATACATAATTATCGCTAGACATGAACTCGAAGAATTTTTAATATGATATCCGTGCGAATAAAGCTCACTAGAATAATGCATCTCTTGTGCACAGAATTAGACTCAGTGACGATGGATATTTCGATGGCAAGTTGTACCTTAATACCAGTGTGCCAAGAGCTTCAGAAAAACAGAAATGAGGGCGATATATTGTTAATTAGGACAATTTTTCTAAGCACGCTGCCACCACGCAACACAAACATACACGCATTTAAACATACAGAGCGATCTCTCTTTCTTTGATTTTTCGTAATAAAGAAACAAAAAATTAAAAAAATAAACATAAAAAAAAGTTTTAATTAATTATATCGATTATATCGAATAATCGATAACATTTGACATTCCTTTGGATGTCAATTGTGAATACAGTAAAATATTAATATCCAACTGTTAAATAATTATAATTATAATATTATAAATAATTTTTATAATTAAAGCATTATATTAATTACCTTGGATGACTTACTAACTACAAAACTAATTTCATAAATGTCTTGTACTTTAGTCAGCACAAGCATCGACTAACTGCTTTAAGTCATACATCATAACTTAAAATTTCTTTGGCTTCAATATGATCTAGAACAGCTGGTTTAGACTTCCAAAATTAGTACCGTATAATTTTTCATAAATATAACTTCAAGATTATGTAAAGTATTGTATCATTAACATTCTATTAACAAAAATTGACGCGCTCGTTTACTTATTTAAGAACATAAATATTTATTTGGATTTTAAGATATAAAGAAAAACGTTACGCGATAAAACCAATCGTTCATTTATTATATAAAATTCTGATTTTATTTATAAATAATCTATAAACAATTCAACTATGTAACACAAAAGCATAAAAATAAAAATTTTAAATATTTTTTAATTTGTTATACTTTTAAGAAGGTACGATTGGATATATCTGCAAATGAAAAATGTAAAATTAATTATAATGCTTTACTCTTAGTTAAAAATTGCAATTTCAGATAATACAACGCTGTAAACTACATAATCAGCGCTGTAAATTTTGAACTAAGATTTTTTTAAACTTTAGTACAAGCATGTTATATTTATTATATAGTATATGATATCAAATATATCATTTAGAAATATTTGAAATTTTTCATTTATGTACGTAAAATCGTACGTTGATAAAAAGCGAATACAATTTTAATAACTTTGTAATATAAACTTATTTTTTATAGCAACTTGAAGATTATAGACTCGATAATGGAAGCATTGTTGGATTTCCTAATGCAAAGCCATACAATGGTGAGAATCTTATGTATGAGCCTTGTGACATTTTTATTCCTGCAGCAGTTGAAAAAGTTATTACGAAAGAAAACGCCAGTCGCCTTCAAGTAAGTTTATTTTTTTTTCGTTATATTTTTTTATTTATTTATTTTTTTTTTTTTAATAATGTTCATAATGAAATTCGGATGAAATCCAAATAAATTATATATATATATATAGTAATATACAAAAACGCTAGTAATATATTCAATATGTTACTATTATAATAAATGAAAAATACTAATAAACAATAATCTTTTTTCATAAAAAAATTCCATAAATTTTTTTCTTACAACAACTTAAAAATCTATAAAATTTCAATAACGAAGTATTTATTTAAATTTGGATTATTAATTAGTTAATTTGAAGTATGTAGAATAATTTTAATGAAGCTTTTAACATGTTTTAATTACTAAAAAATTAATTATATTGTTTTTCGTATTTTTATTTTTGTATATAATATTATTGTAAATTTTTATATAAAAGTATAAATTTACTTATAATTAATTGTAAAAATTTATATTTCAATGTGTATGGTTGTGTGTTTGTGTATTATGAGTATAGCTTGCCTGTCATGAAATATTATCATACCTATTACATTCTGATTAATAATGTTTGAAAATATGTGTTCTTTGCAATGTATTTTAGATAAAAGTAAATAGTTACAATACTACTAATAAAGACATTTTATTTTTCTATATTTAATTACTAATTTATTTCTATACATTTATTATACTATATATAGTATAATACGATATTTATTATATATATTTTAGATTTGTGTTTTTATATTTACACAGATCCAAAATAAAAAAAACACTTCTAAATGCTTATGAAAAATGAAATTGTTGATTGATGAAATGAATGATTTTGTGTCGTTACATAACATTTTTTAAAACATAAATACAATGAATCCATTTTTATTTTCTTTCTGCGTTTAACTCCCTTTCCTATTTTTATTCTTTCATTAACTTATTTACTCATCTTCCATCGGTCTAAATTTGTTACCACTATACAGTTTTATTATGAGAAGCTCGAATGAAGTCTCTTGTCAAAAGTACTAGGTACGAAATTTGTATGCGAGTTATAAGCTTATTATTTTTTAGTATAAAAACAAGTATAAAAATAACATATAATGAAATTCGATTAAAAATGATGGAAAATGTGAAAATGTTAAACTACATATAAAAAAGAAAACATGAATTTTTATTTTCTAAGTAAAGTAGTTTCTAATGTATTTATGTAATTATACAATTTGCACTATATTATTTAATATTGATATATGCTTAAGAAATTTTCTTTAAGCAAAGTGTACTTCACATCGCTTAAATATTTCCGAAAAATTTTTAATTACCGTAACGTACGATTCATCCTAAATGAAGATATTTTACTAATTTTTAATAGTTAAAAGTAAGTAATTAATATAAATGTAGCACATTTGATCACTAATATAAAATATTATTTGTATTAAAATTATTAAAAATAATTAATTTTTTTTTTTTATTTTAAATTAATATAATTTACCGTTATATCGTTTACTTCTTCATTTATGAAAATTGAAATTTCATAATAACTATTGCTTACTTTCATATAAATAATTTTGTATTTATATATAAATAGTTATTACAAAACTACAACATAATTATCATAAATTATGAAATTAATATAATAAAAGAGTTGTATCTTACGTATTTTTAGACCAAGATTATCGCCGAGGCTGCTAATGGCCCAACAACGCCGGCGGCAGATAAAATTCTTATTGAAAAAAATATCCTTGTTATTCCGGATCTGTATAATAATGCTGGTGGTGTAACCGTTTCCTTCTTCGAATGGCTAAAGGATCTTAATCACGTATCTTATGGTCGTTTAACATTCAAATACGAAAGAGAATCAAATTATCACCTTCTGGGTAAGAAATATGTATATAAACACATTTCGAATTAATACTTTTCAAATGAGCGTATAGAAGTTTTTTAATTAACAATTCATTTTTCCTTGGAATTTTTATTAACTATAAAATAGAATTAAATGTAATTTTAACAAAAAATCTTTTCTCATAATATCGACTCAAAATATAATTTGTTACTTGCGTTAACTTAGCTACTACTTGAATCAAACTGTCTAAAACAGCAATTATAAGGGCAATTTATCCAATTATGTTACAGAATCTGTGCAGGAATCTCTAGAACGCAGATTTGGGCGAGTTGGTGGACGCATCCCAGTTACACCATCTGAATCTTTTCAAAAACGCATTTCTGGTGCATCCGAAAAAGATATTGTACATTCCGGATTGGACTATACAATGGAAAGATCTGCTAGAGTAAGTGAAATAAAATATATTAAAGGCACAATATTTTAATATTATTCTTAATTAATATTTTTTTAAATTACGATTTTTTACTCTATTAGGTTTTTTTAATTTGAAAATTTACAGTACGAATACTTGTATTACATTAATTTCCCTATCTATTTGCAATTACTAATTCTATTAATAAAAATACTATTATAACTTCAAAGCATTGAAGTTAATGTATTCAATGCAATTTTCATTAATAATTTGAACTTTGTGATATCTAAGTTTAAGGTTAGTAACATGTCTCTTCATCTTTTCATTAAAATCTTTTATTTAAGCCATTACAGCATATGCATAACTTTTAATCGTAAACAACATAATTATTATATTATTTGTACGCATGCCTTTAATGTGAGAATCATAAATGCCAAGTACATTTAATACAATCGTTATCTTTTCTTGAAATTGATTATTAATTTTTTAGATGATCGCGTACTACGGTTTATGCTTCAATTTAAAGTGTTATTTTAATGCTTTAAAGGCACAAGTGCAATGGCACGCTTTTGTCAAGCTTTCAAAGATTCATTTAATAGAATTGCCATACGAAATCTAATATTATATAGATATATATATTAATATATATATGACTGAATTACCAATTCGAAAAATGTAACTCTTATTGAAATAGCTTTGATAAAATAGTACTTTAATAAGTAAAAATTAATAATATAAAAGCAATTTCTATAAAAGAATATAAGAACAGTATTATTGATAGAATTAATTAAAAATAATAATGGTAACAAAAAATTTTGTATTGCCATACTCATGTTAATTAGTAACGATTAAATGAATAAATAAATAGTAAGTTGAAAATGTGAAAATATATTAGATGTATAAATATTACACTTCGTCGCTTATCTAAATATAAATATCCTCAATAATACATCTATTTATTTGTCAAAGTCTTGCTCATAAATAGCTCCTTCAAATTCAATTCATTTAAAAGTTACTCAATTGCTTTTTTCGATATATTAAAGAATAAACGGTATGCTTGTGATTAATAATGTTAACTAATTATTAAAAAAAAATAGAAGAAGAAGAAGAAAACATTCGTTTGAAATCTGTTATTCATAATAAATTTGCCTCCTAATATTGATTATAATAATTAAGAAATATTCAATTACTAATAACAAATTTTGTTTATAATTGAATTATTTTAACATTCATGCTATTGTTTATTGGGTAGAGGAGTTGATTTAATTTTTTAGTTAAAAAGTTATTTTAATAATGTTAATTCTAAAACGCATTAAAATGCTCGATTCATTAGCTATTTAAAACGCACGTTATTAAAACCACTGAGTATACGATTAAAAAGATTGTAAATTCAAATTTAACATCATATCATTCTTCTCGAAGCGGATAATCCATTTTATATTATTAAAATAACATTATTTCCTACACTCATCTAAATTTCTATATAATTATTATAAATACTAAAATTGATGTTAATATTATATTTCGTATTTTCTCATATAAATACTAAATATAATTCAATGCTTTTGTAGTACCTGGTGCGTGCTAACAATAATTGTGATTCAATTGCAGGCCATTATGAAGACGGCATTGAAATTCAACCTTGGTCTGGATTTAAGGACAGCGGCTTACGTTAACTCAATTGAAAAGATTTTTACGACTTATTCCGAAGCGGGTATCGCCTTTTGAATTTGTTAACCTAGTCATGAATGGGTAACTGTATATTAAACATTCTTGTTATAAAAAGACATCATTTAGACAGTAAATATATCAGAGAGAAAAAAATTATGAAAGAGAAGATGCGAAGCCATCATGCTAGCACAATAAAGCAGTATTCGTTTTAGATAGTGTGATTTTCAAAAAATCAAAAAATCAAAAAACAAATAAAACAAATAAATAAATAAATAATACCGAATTGAGTATTTGAAAGATCTGCTTGGATCAAATTAAATTTTATCTGACTATGCTTTCTGAAAAGCTTAAGAAAATCATTAAACATTAAGTATTTTATTAAATACATTATAACAATACACGTCACGTGTAGTATGCCATCAATCATGGTTGAGATAATTTATTTTATAATGTAATAATTTTAAAATGATAATTAGAATGGAAAAGAGATTTTAAAAAGCTCTAACACACTTCATTATCTTCTCTATATATTGTATGATTTTAAATTCTAATTTTTTAAATTTGCAAATAAATTGTTTCAATAATAATGAAAATGCAAAGAATAAGTAATGTAAGAGAAATATAAGAAAAAAAGATGTATCTAAATCGTGAAACAGCGGAAATTTTATAACTAAATTTTTATTAATGATTTTTTAATAATAACGAACCTTTGTTGAATACACTGTAAAAGTTAAAATTTGTGCAACGATAATGTTAAAGGCCATAGCTTTCCACTATTGGAGCTTGAAAAGGGAGAGTTATTTTGATGATGTGTATAATGTGTTTGATTAACGTTTTTAAACTACTGTATATTAATTGATCGTCGACTGTATTTATATATTAAAAACAAAATAAAATTTGTTACAACTTCTGATATTATATTGAACAATATACACGTTGCAACGTTATAATAATATTTATTTATCGCATGCCTTATAACAAATAGATATTTAAATGATCTGACAAAAAAATTTAAGTTATATTTATACGTATTATTTTCTCCAATAATTATTATTTAAGTTATTTATTGTCATTTTGCAAATCATTATGGTTTTGTTTAACCTAATTATATTCAACAATGTTAATTTAATCTAAAAATATGTTTATATATTTTTAAATATGTTGTTTCGTATCAATAATGTAAACATAAAACTCCTTCGGTATCAATAAAATATTTATGCATAATCTTTTAAGAAACGTCCATATATAATATAATATACTATATTATAAGCAGAAGAATTTTGATGAAAAAACAATACTTAATAGAAGAAGCAATTAAAGAAATTTTTCATCTTTTTAAATTATATAAAACTTATATATTTCAAAGTTTTGATTGTATAATAATACAATAATATATCTTATAATTTTTTTTTTATACTATTATACTCTAAAAAAAAATGATTTTTACCAAAATTCGTAATTTAGCAAAAAAAAAGAATCTCTTTGAGCATTTATAAACATATACTTTATTTAAATTAGTTTAATATTATTAAAAAAATTCCAACTAGAAAATAAACAAAGATTTCAAAGCGTATCATAATTCAGTCGTATTAGTATTTTATTTAAATATAATTATTACAATATATTTTAGTAATTTTAGTCGAAAATATGTAAAGAATATTGAAATAATGTCGTCTATTAGACATTTTTCTAGTTTTTCTTTTGCCCTATTACAAGAACAATGGTCCCATTCAGAAAACAGAAAATATAAACATATAAATATTATCACGAAATAATATTAATATATTTTCATTAATTTTGACATTTAAGTCTTTAGAAATTTTTTATTATTATGTATTTTAATCTTATTCACTATTAAATACAAAAAAAAATTTAATTCTCAATCATTTACGTTAATTTATATACAAATAATAAAGAGATTCGATAATTTATTTACACCGATATAAAATTACAAAATAACTTTTTAACAATGATGAGAAATGGAGATAATATAGCCATTGTCCAAGAAAATCAAATATATTTATTTAAATTTAACTTGAAAAAAAAATAATACAAATATATGTTGTATAATCACTGATTTTCACCTTATCCAAATTAACTTACAATAATTGATGTGCTTATATGCATTATACCACTTACATGGAAGACTATTGAATGAATCTATACTCCAGCCAATTATATCATATTTTTTTGGGGCTTCGAAAATAATGCATACAAATAATTAAACATATTAAATTGTTTTTATTATCTATATTCAACAAATGCACATAATAATTTAATTTAGCAAAAAATGGTATATAATATTTTTTTCTTTGTAAATAATAAAGTAAAAAATTTTTTTATTTATATTTTAATGATGAAAAATCTCACAACAAAGTACTTGGATTAGAAAAAAAAAAAAAAAAAAAACGAAGATTATAATGATGTTAAAAATTACTTTATATTTTAAAAAATTTATATAATAAATTTTGTTATTACCAAATCAATCGAATTAAAATAGAATGTGGTAAAAATTATAGATTGTAAAAAACAGCAAAGAAAGATACAATGTCGCTGATTAGCTAAAAGAAGAAAAAAATGTGTTATTTGAATAAAAGAAGTATATTGGTAGTTTAATGTATTCTTATTTTTATGTTAATATATGTAATAATGTACCAAACCAAATGATTCCATGGAAAGTTTAAAATAACCAGCAGCCTTGAATTCAACTGGATGTTGTGTCCTCATTAGTAAAATGTACAACAGTACGTTAGCTTGACGATCCTTATAGCCGAATGGTGGCATTATAAATGTCTCATTCGCCACGGCTTTACACTAAAATGCATTATAAGATATTTCTGCAAGGCTCGTTGAACATTCGATTGAAAATTATACACTTTAGTTAGAAATAACATCCATGAATTTATATCAATAGTTAGTAAATTTAAAATACTGATATTTAATAATCTATTTAAGTTTTTTTTTTTTTTTTTTTTTTTTTATGTACAGCAATAAAATGAAAGAACTGAAAATGTCCATAATAGAATAAAAATGAAAGATAAATTATTGAATAATTAAAGTAAATTAATAATGAAAAAGAGATAGTGGAGATGTACAAAGTTTTAGAAAAGCAAAATTCTACGATGTGTTCGATATTAAATTCAATGAAAGTGTTAAATGTTTTCTTGATAGATGTTATTTTATGTACGATAAGTACTAGAATGAAGTTTTGTAGAACAACGTTAAAATAAATGTATACATGTGCCGTTTAAACGATCTAAATTAATTTAAAATTTTGTTGCATTTTTCACATGTTCTTGCGACACCGAAAAAATTTATCAAAATGCATGAATTTACAAGTAATGTAGGTTTCTGTTTACTTTTATCATACATTATTGATTTTACAACTAAATTTCTATACATTATAAAAGTAAATAGATATTTGTGTTTCGTTTTTATAAACATGAATATGTTTTATTTTTAAATCAGCTTCTTGGTAGATTGCAAACATTATTATTCCAGTTTCAAATTGCTCGCAAACAATTGGGGATAATGACCGTTTGAAAATTATTCGAATAGTAATATAAAATAGTAAATGTGAAATATTCTTTAAATTGAGAAATCAAATTAATAAAGTGCGGAAATATATAGCTCATTAGATAATGCAAGTGTATTCTTTAATTTCCCACCATGGAAAATCGAAATTCATATCTTTGATAATTTTATCATTGATGCAGATTGCCAATTGACTTATTCAGTTTTATGAATAGAGACAAACATTAATAAAATAAGGTGAAATAAAATTAGGGTGGTATGAAAATTCGATAATATTGAAAATTATTTCGGAAATTATATCAAACTTATTGAGCAGTAACAGTTAACATTAATAATAAATATCCAAGTAAGCATTTCAAAATATTATATAACTACAAAATGCAGCTAAAACTGCAGGTAATCTCATTAGCTAAAGTGGAAGAATGAAGTTCCTATTTTTAATAAAAACGTGAATTAAAATACTTAATATATGTTTATTATTAAACGAAATTTGTACTGCGTAACAGACTAGATTATTGAAATATTTTAGTTATAGAATAAATATTATGCGTATGCGCCAAACGAATAAGATAATTCGAATGCATTAAAATGAATTCTAATCAATGGAAAATTGTTACAAAAATTTTTTATCGTTGTCTCTTATGGAAGTATATATAATAATTGAAGCAATTCATCAATATATCGTAATCAATAATAACTAATAAATATAATTTCACAAAATATTCTTTTTATATAAGATTTTATGAGATATTTTTTTTTTTTTTTAACAAGTGCAAGTAAATGAGATGCTACGATGAAATATAAAATTGACAAAAAAAGTTGTTTTGTATAATATGTTTTCAACGTAAAACAAAAATTATATACTAAATACTAAATGTATTTTCTACTGTTAATAATGCTAAATATTATTGACGTGACCAAGAATTTGCTACGAATAATATTGGACGAAGTACGCAAGTAATTGTACAATTTATTTTTAAATGACTCACTTCATTTATAAGTATCTGCGGTGAGCTTTCAAGATATAACAGCTGGATCAAGAGTAAAAAAAGAAGCGTTACGCATTTAAATTTGGTGGATTTTGCCTGTTTTTTTATTTTTTTTTTTTTTTAAAGTTATTAACAATGTTTACTTGTATTATTCACGAAAATGTTTTATTGTAAATAGACATTTTTACTAACCCCAATAAGATTTAATGCTACTATAGACATGATATAAGTTGAACCGACTAACTGCGTTACGAATACTGGATTCAGTAAAATTTGTATTTTATTACAGTATCTAAATTAATAAAGAAACAATTATTGTTTGTTTTATAATATTATTAGTTTTATATATGAATTGTACAAATAAATGATATGTTATCATAGAAAATACATAAATTTTATTCAAATAGTTTCTCAGCGGCTAAGTTAATTGAATGCAACTTACAATTATATTAAACTTACTTCTAAATTATATTAAAAGTTTTATTTACAATTTTCAACTTTAAAATTCTTTTGCTCAAATAACTACTTAATGTATGTTTTATATATACGTAAACATATCTTAATTTTCTACTACCATTTAAATTTTAAATAACGATTTAGTTTAAATGAATTTTAATTATCACTCGAAAATCATTTTACAGATAAGAAAAATGAAATAAATTTTACTACTTATTTTTATGCTCTTAATAATTTTGTCTCATTTGTTTGAATTCTAAGAATAAAACAAGAACTATTATTCCATCTTTAGATCTGTCATTAGATACGTTTCAAGTACTCGAATATGAAGACTACAAGAGAAATAATTAATGTTTTAGAAGATTATATATTTTATTATATTACAAAAAAAATTGAATCAACCAGAAATAAAATAAGATTATATTTAAAATTAATATTTAAAATTAATAAATTTATTTATTATAATAGAATATTTCACTTTTAAACAAATACGGTGTTTATTGCATTTTTTTTTTTTTTTTTTTAATAAAAACCAATAATTTATATGTATGATTTAAAAAAGGCATAAAAATCAAAATTTAATTAAGTATAAATTCGATTCTAAATAATAAAAAAAATTGGAGATATATTGAAATAATTAAACGCAGTTTTATTTAATTCATTTTAATATTAAAATTAACATATAAAAATAGAATACCTTATTTTATTATTTATTTTTAATTTATAATAAACTGTTATGTTATAATTTATTATAACTTTTATGTCTGATAAGAATTATAAAAAATTTGCTCAGACATTCGAAGAACATAATGTAATTAATAAAAAGAGATATCTTACTCAAGTATTAATTGGTGGAATTTGATACATGCCAATATATTCTTCACAAAATCTTTCGTTCCTATTTTTTTAGTGTTATATGTTATTGAAATATTTTGTAACCTATATTGAAGAACTCTCAAATATCCACAAGCCATCATGATTAAAAAAATGCCAATGGTATCGACGCCATAATTTGTAAATCCAACTCCAAGTGCAATCAAGCATTGTATAATGTACATAATTTTAAACAATGACGTATTTTGAATATCCACATAAAAGTGAAAAGGCAGCTCTTTTATAACTGTATTATTATCTATTAAAATGATATATTTGTAAGCTATAAATTATTTCGAAAATTCATGTTTCATAATATTTTACAATACTTATTGTTAGATTTTTCTTGTAATGCTAATTAAATGTTATTAAACACTAGCATTCTTATGTAAAATGTACTATATTACGTAATATTACATTATTTTTCCAGTCTTGCATATTACACGAAAGGAAAAATTATTTCTGAATTTTATCAATTATTATAAAAGAAGGTATTTCATTTTACATGTATTAATAAACACATCATATTTTTCAATCACTATTCTTTTGCTTCTTAAAATATGCACGTTTGTATATTTTATTTCATAAACTTACTATACAATTTTAAACAAATAGACATTATAATTTATGAATTATAAAAGACATTCACATGCACTTATAGAAAATATATTAATTGTAACATACAAACTTAATTATGTATATATATATATATATATAACTATAATCTAAAAGAGGAAAACATAATTCAGAATAAAAGCATAACCATGTACAAAACAATTTAGATTATTTTAAAAATGTATTTAAAAAAAAAAAAATTGTCTCATTTAAAAGTGCCATCAATATTTAAATTTGAATTTATTATTAAATTTTTTTTAATATACTAAATATTCCAACCGTTTTCTGGAGATTGAAGCAGCTGATTCACTATTAAGAAGCATCCGTATAACATTACGCATAAGGTTAAATAGATCGAAATCATAATTTTGATTTTAGTGATGAATTTTATTACAAACTGTTGTTCAAATGGTTGGAGATATTGCCAAAGACTCTTAGAATAGCTTATTAACGATGACAGCTCAGCTCGACGTAAGTAAAATATTATAAAACGAATTTGATAACATAAAAGAATAATCATTTCCGAAATCAATTCTACATTATATTTATAGTTAAACGCATCTTGTACAAACAAGTAAACGTAAACGCTATTTATAAAATTATAAGATAAATGAAACCAGATAGATGCAATTCTAGTTTTGAAAAAATTAAAGTCTTGATTTTTAAAAGCAACTAGTCCCATTACTTTAAACACTAAAATGTTAATATGCGTTTCGGTGTAGAATGATGACGAGTCGCGATCCTTAGTAGGGAACTGAGAAACGAATGTTTTTCTATTATTTGCCATTTTTTGTTGACTTATAAATATATCGAATTTTTCACAAGAATTTTGTGAAAATTTTTTTAATAAACTTAATATTTCAATTAATTTCAGTTCGGCGTGTATGCAAATTTAATTTACAGCAATTAATGTTTTTTACTTGAAATATTATATAACTATGAATCGAAATTGATTTCTTTCCGTTTAAAGACTAGTATAAATGAATAGAATAATAAATATTTAAAAATGAAAATTTGTCGCATTCACTTTTTGATAAATAAGTTCAGCGTTGTACTCGTAAATATTTAAAGAATAATAGCTAGTATTTTTACATATATTTAGTTATTTGTCATACTACATAACTTCACAATCTATAGCAATAATGTTTAAGGTGATAGGCGAAAGCTTTGAATAAATAATACCAATGGTAAATTCTTAATTCGCTTATGCATTTTTGTATGTAATACTCTTTATAGTATACAAAGAGACCTTAGATTCGCCTTTGTGCATTATTAGATAGAAACGTTATATATTAATAAAAGGTGAAAAAATATCAGGTAAAATAAAAATGCATTTTATCATAATATTGAAGAGATATGGATTTTTTTGGAGATGATATACTAATAAATTCGATTTCATTTTTTACATGAAATTAACCAACAATTATTTCAAAATATAATTATATTTATATAAACATACATACAATCATTATGACTATTGTCGCTATAATAATAATTATAACAATAATTATTATTGTTATTAAAATAGTATTTAATAATTATAAATAAAAATTTTGTGTAATTATACAATATAATAATATATAATAATTATGATTGCTATTATTGTTATATTTTTATGAGTTAAACGCTACTATTACAAAAATTTTTTAATGAAATATTATCTAAACTAAATTATGTAAAAAAAATACTTTGTATTATGAAAATAAAATACTTATTTTTAAAAACTGTGTAACAATTATTTTTATACATTTTAATTCACACAAAATTTCAATTCCATAATGTTAAGAAAAAATAACTTTGTAGCATACATCTTCTTTCTATTATATTTCATATTAAATTATTAATATATTAAATTAATATATTAAATTATTTCCACCTAATAAATTTTACGTTTTATAGAAATGAGTTTTCGTCATTATATAGAAACGAGGATTTAAAATAATACAAATATAATCTGATATTTAAAATTTTTTTATTTTTAAATTATTGTAGCATTATGGTAGTCACAATCTATAATTATTATATAATAATAGGAATAAAATGATTTTTAAACTACTTACAGTTTTTTTTAGTATATGTCTATTAATAAACATTTTTTTAATGCATTGTGTTCCTTTGTTTTAATGGCTAACATTATAAGTCAAGATACATTACATGTATATTAAAACTTTTATTAATTTCTATTAATTATTTTAAACTTACATAATATATTTTGAAGGATATCGTTATTCTTTTTAATTGAAATCTTTATATAAAATATGTGCATAAATTTGAAAATAATTTGATAATAATGATTAAGAATATAATTTTATTGTTTATGATAGTGTATTTTAGTGTATCTAGTGTAGATATACGACACTAATGGAAAAATAGTGGCATAAACTATAAGGAATTGAGTCTATTAAAGTTCTATGACCAGTAAAATAATAAAATTTTATTATTAGGAAAATATTTATAATGTCTATATAAATTACAGAGAGAAGAAGAAGAAGAAGAAGAAAAAGAAGAAGAAGAAGAAGAGAGAGAGAGAGAGAGAGAGTGTTTGTCTGTCTGTATGTTTGATAAATAAATATAACAAGAGACTAACACTTATTTACACATACTTGATTTTAAGGTATTAAAATATTATTTTAATTGAAAAGGTTTAGAGTATGAAGGAAATATAATAAAATCAAATAATATCTTATTTATTTATAATCCGGGTCTTATATTTTCTGTATAAACGTGAATTCATTTATATTTAATCTTGTCTTTTCCATTATTTAAATAACAGAATAATTAATGGAATTTTTTGAGAAAATAAACAATAATAATATTTGCATTGAAATCTGATATAGTATTAGTAAATTAACAAATATATTTTTTATTATCGTAATGAATTAGTTGGCGTAATCATAGCCAATGAAATAACAAGAAAATATTATTAAATCGAAGTATTAAACTAAAGGATAACAGATTGTTTACTATTTTATTCAAAAATGTTTCTTGCTTAGAAATAAATCACATTAAATACTGGCAATGTGAAATATATTAAAGCAAAAAGCAGAATAGCAAGGTCAAATTGAAAAAAAGCAAAATACGTGTTACTATCAAAACAAGTTATTATCATTATTGGATCTAGTATAATCCCTTTTAAATGGACAAAGATAGTGGGCAAATAAAGTACTGGTAGATAGAAAAACTACATTTGTCAAGCCATTAACAAGAAATCAGCTTAATATTACTTTTCTTTTCCAGAGTGTCTTATAAATTTCTATTTAGTAAATTTAAATCGGAACTTATTTTTAATATCGCTACTCAAATGGCTTTTCTGATGATAATATTAATTTCATTAAAATTGTGTAAAAAATATTCGACATTAAATGTAAATTTTACTAATAGTTATTATACTATAAAAATGTATGAATATCAACAATAAAATAAATGTATATTAAGGAATCTTCAAAAGCACATTGTTTTCATTTGTTAGTGTTTCAATGAATTGAAATACAAATATTTTTAAATATGTAATTAAATGTTTCTCACGGTAGTTGGTTATAAAGTATCTGTATTTTCACAAAAATCTAATAACTTTGTGTTTTTAATTATATATATATATATATATATATAATAAACACATTTAAATTATGTATGGTTTTAAAAACAGTTTCCTCAAAGATTGTGTTTAATTTCATTAGTATACACATTTATTTATGTATATCGGGTAGTCTGAAAGTTCTACGGTTCACATATTATAAAGATGGAAGCAATGGAATATAAAATGAAATAGAAACAACAACGTAAATAATCTCAATAATTCCATATTTTACTGCTAGAGCTATGAGCATTCAATAATGAACTATATACTACAATTAAATAACTTTATAAAATTTATTTTTCATAAAGTATTTCGCAATTTTTATTGTACATTTATTCACAAGATTATACAAAAATTCTTAATGAGGTTTCTCTTATTTACAAGTTTAATAAACATTGGATTATAAAAATAAAGAAATTTTTTTATAATATAATAAATAAGTATTGATATAGATTAATTGTATAATAGTATTAATTTTTTAAATATAGCTTTTTAATAAATTAAACTTTGTAACATTAGAAAAAATTTACTTTATATACAATTGAATAACATATAAAATTTTAATAACTAATCGAAAGCTTCTGTATACGTCGAATCAAACTTGTTAAATTCTTCATTACCTAAAAACATTGTTCAATTTTTCAGATAATTATAGATTTTTTTTATATATTATTAAAGAAATTTATTTAAAATTACTGCTAGATATGTCTTTCAAATTTTTTAATGCCATTGTATTGAAATAAAGTGCTTGTGCTTGAGCAGCTTCTGTATGACACTCTTTGAAATCAGCAGCAACACCGTTGGTAACATTTATCTATATTATTTAGAATATATAAAATGCATAATAAATATTAAAAAAGAAATCTTTGAAAAATATTTCTATAGATATACGATGAGTATAAAATTTATGTAGCGCTAACCATTTCATCAATACAAATGATTACCAATATACTTACAATATTCTCCTGTATTTCATTGGATAAAATCGAATTTGATGTATTAAGATGACTAGTAGAATTATTTATAAATTCTGTTACTTTAGATACGAGGTCAACAGCAGCTCTATAAAATATATTAAAAATATATATAAAATTTTCAGTAAAATAAAATTTCAATAATTGAATTAATTCATACACATGATATTCATAAGGTATTGGTAAACCAATGAGATCATCTGTTTGATCAAAAATCGTCTCAATAGTACTTTTATTAGCTAATAGTTGCTCTAAATTTTTAATTATACTATTCATACATTTTGAAGATCCATCTAAAATAGAAACATGCAAATTAAAAATATATTATAGGTTTTTCATCGCATGTTAGCTATTTCACCTTTAAGATATACCAGTTCATTGTATAGGTTTTCATACTTTTTGGCTCGTTCTACAGCAACTTTGTCACTCTGTTGACGACGAGACTCGTCATCAAGTTCCAATTCAGCTATAAGTTTCGTGATAGCCATTTTCTTTTTTCTTTTTTTTAAAACAAATTACAAAATAACGAATAATAAATACAATTTCAAATATTGCAACTGTTATTATTAACTTGCTTGCATACAACGCACACTAATCTTATATGATTATAATAATAGTTCGCTATGTTGCCGTCAGAGGCAGTACCATCGAGAAATAAAAATTGTAAAAAACGGTTTCATTCAAAAGGAACCAAAATAAAATTGTATTTAAAAAATCAATTCAATTTAGCATTTATTTGTATAAAAACCATCAAATTTTTCACAACTTGATATCCTTGCTTGAATGTATTTAAACTAATTATACATTTTTAATAGTCTGTTTAAATTTTTCATTATCAACGCCTAATCTAATTCTATGAGGAATTAAAAAATTATTAAGTTTGTAATTGTTAAGATCAAGAAAATTACTATATATAATAAATGTTTACGTTTAAGCATTCACTTAAAATATAATGTAATCAATAAAAAATCGTTGTGTAAAGAATACTTTAGTGATTTTTCGATATAAAATATTAAACCTCACCCTGGAAAGTTTCTCATTTTGAAGAATAAATTTAAAAAATAAAGTTTATCTTTACATTAATTAACGTACACCTTCGAGTCAACATTCTTATAAGATTAAAAACATATTTCTTATTTTAATGAATAGTCAAAGTGCTCAAAAACAGATTTGCAAAGATTCAGTTTATTTAAAAAATTATTTTTATAACTAACTTGAAATTAAAATCTATAAATTAAAAATCTATGAAAATAGAATTTTATAATCTTTTTTAAATAGCTTTTGAATTTCTATAAATATATATAAATATATATATATATATTTTAAATAGCTTATATAAATTTCATTGATTTCTTATGTAACTACAGTTTTAATAAAAAAATTGGATAACGCAATTAAATATTAATCTTTAGTTCAACAATAATGTATGCAAATTGGATGTGTAAGATGTACAATGGGACGTCTACCCGGTATGTTTGGATGATCGTTATTTGTTAAAAAGGTAGAATATAAGACAATTATAGTAATTTAAGATACAATAATTTAAAACTGGATATACAATATTTTTTAGCATATAATCTTAAAAAATTACAATATTTAATTAAATATAAAATTAAAAAATTTTATAATAAAGACATATTTACTACAATAATTATAGATTGATTGATACTGCAGGAATATAATAATAAATAAAACACGTGTGTAGGAATAAATGATAGTTTTAAAATATTTTTATAAAAACTTACTGAACAGATAAAAGATAAATGTAATTAAGTAGTATTATTAATAGATAATTATACAGATATTCATTTAGGAGTTGGTATAACTTAATTGAATGAAATCTAATCTAATCAATAAAATAGAAACTCAGTATGCACTATCTTTAACGTTATATTATTTATTTTTAAAGGTCTTATTTTTTTTTGTCGTAAATCTATATGAGAAGATAATTTAATATATTTTATGTATTATTGTTTAATTTAGTACATAATAATTAAGGAATAAGACAATATGATTGGATCGGAATTAATATCAGCAATTATTTTTAACTCATATATATATTTTATTTCATCGTCAAATTAAATGCTTTCTCATTAATACTATAAAGCATTTTACAATAATTATTTGTTATAAAAGATGTTTTTATTTACATTTATTTGTTACATAAGATTTATTTTATAAAAATATTTCGACACCCATTAACAAATGTAATCGTCAGTAAGAAAGTAATATAATAAAAACTCCTCGACTAATTTAATAATTAATTTTTAGCTGCTTATTCTTAAGAATGATACTTTCAATAATTGAGATCTAAAAATACAACAGTTTTCGGTATATTGTATTATTATTTTCACACTTTATTTTAAGCTCTTCATTTTCTATTACTCATATAAAAATATAAATTGTCCTCTATAACGATTATTCAAAACGGTTCTAATACCTTCATTATATATTCAAATTTATTTCTATAAATCGATCAAATTCTTTTTTACCATAATCAAAACAGTCGCATTCAAAGTAAATATTGACTGCATTCTTTGGTCATTTTAGAACTGAACGATTTTTCTCTTACAAATTTCTCAAACGTTATTTTTATTTTATATTTAAATAAATACGTAAAGGGCATTTTAATTTCGAATCTTACTTTATAAAATGGGATGGTCTAATAAGTGTCCCAAGAGAAACAAGACTATTTTAAATTTATTAACTATTTTCAATTAATTTTCAAGATCTAGACATTAATTCATCCATTATGTACACTTATACATTATTGCATAACTATATAAAACATTTTATTATCGTTCAGTTCCGCTTCAAATTCACTTTTTGTATAAAAACACAGCACTCTCATTAATTAATTCAAAGAATGCAGCTCTTTCGTGTAAATGCATCAACGAATTTATTATATTATAAAGGCGAATACATCGGTATACATCAAGTTGCTTCGACGTATCAATTTTCTTTTAGCACACGCACTCGACTCTCTTCAAGTCGTTATAAAAACATGATTCATCATAATCTTTAATAATTGCCGTGTAAAATTACTAAATACTTATCAAATAATTGCCTCGGTCTCGGATTATCAATTCACAACTCGCAGAGAGATTAAAAAAAATCCTCAGACTACAACAATTAATGTAATTTAAAAGTCTTGTAAAGATAAAATTTTGTGTTTTCACGCTCAATTATTTTACGTATTACTTTACACTCTCCGGCATTTCTTTTACCTTCTGAAGTTTATTTCATATTTCTAAGAAAAACAATAATAGTAAGATATATATATATACACACATAGGCTTTGAGAACTATAAAATTTATCTTCAAGTTCGTCTCAATGAAAATCTATTAAAACAGATGAGCCTACTTCAATGGGCTTTTTAAAAATCAGGAGAATATTGATAATACAAAACATATACAAATCCAAAAGTCTAACGAATCATGTATTTCAAATTACTGATCTTATATACATTGTTTCTTAAGACTTCGTCAATAGATCAAATCAACCAATTGATTTTGGGAAATTTATTAAACTTAAGGTACTTGACTTTGATATGTGCAAGTCCAAAAAAACATATTCACGAACCGATATATTACGATTAAAAATATGCATAATTTTATCAATATCTTCGAAGCGAAACATCTATATCAAAGAAGTTGAAAATAAAATGTACTTTGAGCTTACTAGTAAAATGATTGATGTTCGTTCATGCCGTACATAAATCTTTTAAGATCCTTTTTACATAAATATACAAGCTTGACATGGCCCTACTGGTTATCTTAACTTTGTATAAATTTACTATGCTATCTTGCAACTTTGCTTTGGTCAGAGTCTTTGTAAATTAGACTTGAAAAATTTAGTGCAAGAATTGTGATTGCCAAGAGTTTACAGGCTGCGCCATTCTCTTAACGTCAAAAATGGTTTTTACATTCTCAATCAAGGCAACTTTATTGTTGTTGCACAAGCTTGATTTGACATTATGCAATCTAAACGTGCAACAAAGGTTTTATGGCATCAGTAACGACGTAACGAAAAGCCCGAACTAGTACTTTGTAAAATTTAATACTAATATGATTGACGATTAGATGGGCCACGTATAATCGTAACATCTTATACATTCTGCGAACGAATCGGAAATATCGCAAGAGAAACTAATATATTCGCCATTATTGGCGATCTTTTTAATATTTGTATTCGTTTATTGGCGAATATTAACGGTCGATCTAACCAAAGAATTCAAACCAAACACATTATATGTGTATTAAGCGACTATCGTTCATGGATCTAAGCCAATAACACGTTCAGCTGCACTGTTGTATCAAAGAACACGACAATCAAGATGATTAAAATATTTATTAAATATTTTTTTTAACAGTTAAAACGTTGATTTAACAAAGCAATATACGTATATTTTTATTCGAATGTGCTAATAGTAGTACAAGTCGTGAGTTTACTTTCGCTATTTCTCATTCACTCGCTAATCGTGTATTAACGTAATAAACAGGGCATAACAATTATAAATCCCATCAATCAGAATATATAAATGCAGTTAATGTTACGTTATCCCGTAAATACGTGGGGCAACATCAGGCTTAGGAATGTGAATAGAGCTTCTTCAGTTTTGACATACTTAATACGTAGTACCACTTTACTTCGACATATTCCACTGTGACGCATATGTAAGAGAGAAAATCAACGGAAGGAACGAAGGTAGGTAAAATTGCTCGACAACTGCTTCTAATTTATGGATCGGATCGGTACTAATGCCAATAGCACTAATACTTCGTCGTTTGTCATTCACACGCGTAAACATTCACAGCCCGTTAATTACAATAAATTCAGCGTTTCAACGCGTGATGCACGTGCGGCCGTAGTTCGTTCCCATTTATTACGGGCCTTTTTACGTACGACTGCCCCTTGATGAGCAACAGCAGTCTAGAGACAGGGAAAGCCGATTTTTTTTCGTACGCCTCTCGTATGTCGGCGGTCCCGGAGTAGGGCTCACATCATCCAAACGATTGCTTATTTGGTCGAGCCTGACATAATTCTATAAATTTGAATTTCATCGAGCTTCAAAAAGTGAGATTCGTACTTTTCAATTGTTAGGACAGTGTAGGAAAAAGTTTCCCTGACAAAAAAAAAAATGAAAAAGAAAGAGAGAGAAAAAAGATGATTACTAGGACAATTTTTATCGAATATAATTTTATTTTTTTTTTCTTTGAAATTCGATGGGACGTTAATTTGAAAATCGATAACGAGTGGGCAAATAATCGATAAACCACGCGTATGCCAAGCGAATCCAGCGCAATTCCATGGGAATTACATGCTATCTTTATGAGACCTCAATCAGAATTAGTTAATAAGGTATTTATTAAAACTTTGCAAATTTTAACGACTTCTTCAATAGCTTAACTAAATGAAACTTAAATCATAAATAACGTAAGAGATAATTGTGGGGCGTTTGCATAGATTTATATTATTATATTAAATAGTATATGATGATAATTTTTTTTTAACATTAATCTAAATTTAAATTCATTGTTTAATAACTGACACTTGTCGAGGAAACTTTTTCACTGGATAAGCTCTTGTCCTATAGTTGATATACTCAAAAAAAAAAAAAAAAAAAAAAAAAAAAAAAAAAAAAAAAAAAACACACATACGCACGAGACGCAAGAACTATGTTAATATAACAAAACACGCGCAAGGCACAATATTTCATTACTTATCACACGGTTAGTCGGAATTAATAATCGTAACACAAATGTCGTTTGACTTGTACTTGGTCGTTTGACTTGTAATTCATCGTTAAATACAGAATTCGTTCTGGCAAGATTAGATATAATTAGTTAATAATTATTTCTCAATTCTAAATACAGTTAAAAACTTTAATGTAAAACAGAATTTTTTTATTTTAAATCTTTACCAATTTAATTAAATTTTTAGTTTTTAAAATATCATGCGATTAATTGCCAAACTGTTAATAGGCTCATGACGATAAAATGGGCATAATATTATTTTTTCTTTCCAGTCTATTGATTGATTAGCTTCATTTATATATATATATATATATATTTTTTTAATGTTTTCGTAACATCGATACTTTATTTTTGGTGCAAGATTCATGATGGGGCGTTTGCGTTATGCTATTATGAATACGGCCGTACGCTCCAAATAAACCCCTAAGGCAAGGAGACTTTGCACAACGCGTCAAAAAAAAGTAATTAACGAATTAATATAATCAACATTGAAATACAAAAAATAATATAAAACAATTGTACAAATATTTAGGCTCTCGCGTTATGTAACGAGAAATGAAACTATTGTCACGAACGTGTCCCCCGAATTCCGGTTATAATCGGAGATGAGATGGCAAAGACGATTGATTAATCTTTCATACTTGCATCGGATAGCCAAAAGGGCTTTATACGAAGAATGACTTTTCAAAGTAGCGACTAAGATCTTCTGGTTTATATCAGGTTTTTGGTCACCGCCTTCCTACGTCACACTTCTCGATACGAGAAACAGCTATGATGTCCCGTTTTAGATTTTGACACGCATACGAAATAGTTTCACTTCGTTTTTTCCGGTCAGCTATGAAGTTGGGTGGGTGTCGAGGGCCACAGGATCAATTTCTTATAAAAATCCCTCGGCAAATAATTCCATACAGACCGTTATTAATTTCAACGCGCGACAATGAGACATAAGTGGGTAGGAGGTAAGGTTTTAAACACACTAGAGACGCTCGCGCCACTCGGGGCTAAAGAAATGTTTTGTAATTCGCGCGTCCTTGCATGCAGTAGGCGCATAGTGAGAAGCAGCGTGGTTGTTTGGCTTTATTATACTTAAAAGACTGATAATAATTATGAACTCTGAATGTTTAGCTATAAAAATAATGAACTTATTAATTTTCGCATGAATATTCACGTGCGTGATTGAGATTTCGGGGGGGGGGGGGGATCCGATGCTCATTGTCATTGTGGTATCGAACAGGTAGAATGGCAATAAAAAGATATCGGATGAATGGAGCGTGCCAGGAAGATCATAGGTAGACAAACGTTTCCCAGCGATTGCCCCCGGGCAACGTGACTAGTTTTAAGATGGGTGTTAACATACCAATGTTATGACTCATTGCGTAAAAAAATCTATACACGACAGCTCATATCCTTATCAGCATAAGAAAATTTCACAAAAACAAAAGAAAACAATGATGATGAGACGAAATAATGCTGAGAGGATGATATAATTATTGGTGTTAGCTTTGTTATTCATTTTTGTTGAGGTTGTTGTTTTGTTTTTTGTTTAATTCTGGTTTAAATATTCATGTCGTAGAGGTGTGAGGGACCTACCACTGAGGGCATTTGGCAGCCTCGTCGTACTAATAGCCGAACCGTTGGTCCTCCATTTCGTATAATCTCAATTGCCTCTGTATGAGTCATGTTTTTGGTATTGATGCCATTGATTTCTATAATCTGATCACCCACCTAGAATATAAAGTTTCGAATATAATTTATTTATTCAATTTGTTCCTAGATTTCGACAAATGCATATACGTAAGGCGCTTACTCTTAATCTATTGTCGATAGACGCTGGCCCATTTTCAGCAATTTGCAAGACAAAAAGTGGCATGTTTTGAAATTCCCGACCACCTCGGATGCTGAATCCAAAGCCACGAGTTCCTCTAGTTAATTCTACCGCATGATACTGTCCTCCATCTCCATCTCCTGGCAATTCATCCTAAAAAATAAACAAAAATAATAAGGTCGTAATGACGACAACAAGCAACAAGATAATTATTATTTATGTTTTAAGAAGAAGAATTTCCGTGCCTTTCCGACCACATTATATTTACAAATTTTTTAGCATTCATATACTAAAAAGATAATTTAAATTCAAATTTCCTTACAATTTAATATATAAGATTTATAATATGCTCGACTGTGTTATCAAAATCCGATCTCCTACCTTTTGAGATAACGAGGTATTACTGCAGCAATCGTCCAAAGGATAACCGATGGTGAGGGTAACGGAGTATCCCGAATCCTTAATTAAATTAACGATATCTTTGTGGCACGCGTTGGTAATGTCTGTGTGATTAACGGCGAGAATGTGATCGCCGACATTGAGTTTACCGCATCTCTCCGCTGGAGAGCCTTCGATTATACGGCCGATCGTCGAGCCGGATTTGTTCACTGAAGAAATTATTACAAAGCCAAAGCCCTCGTTCTCCATTCTTGTTACGGTCACCTATCATTGTTCGCATTAAAGCAAATAAAAAAAATCAATACATAAAAAAAAACATACAATCAAAAATCAAGTAAATTAATTAAATTAATTTATAAATGCATACATAAGAGGGGATCGAGTAACACAGTCTTTATTAAAAATTAGGGAACAGGATTTATTTCCAATCCATTACATTTCTATTACTTTAACTCCATCATGTCTAGTTTATCAATTATAATAAGAAAATTAACGAAAAATCTCATATAGATGTAAGCTGTTTATTTTTTATTTAAGTAATTTTAAGATACGGATAATATAGTGTACAGCATAGTTTATGAAATCTATAATTCTATGCTATTCTAAATTCTATTTTGAGTATTAGATAAAAAATTTAAGACACTCAATAAATGATAAATCCAAATAAAATGTAATGAAATTTCAAATAAATTTAATTACGTGATAATTACGTCTTTAAAAAGTCAAGGGATCGAAGCTAACCTCGTAAGGATATTGGGCATGTCCGATGAGGCGACAGCTGTAAGAAGAAGAGGTAGAAGACTGTAGGTTGTCGCGCATCTGATGATGATGATGGTGGTGATGGTGATGGTGATGGTTGTCCTGAGTGGCGATGCGCCGGCGTATGCCAAGGGTGACGCGGCCATTTTGGGCAGCAGCTATCATCAGCTGGACTACCCTATGGTGAGACGAGCTCATCACACTTTCGCCATCCACAGACATTATAAGATCGCCGGTGTTGAGGCGGCTATCGAGATCCGCCGCGCCGCCCGGGACTATATGCCCTACAGAAACCTGCTGGCCAAGCAAATGCACACGGCAAATTGAGATCGCGACCGTTTTATCCGCTTCCCACCCGCTTTCGTTATTTATTCCTACTACATTGCATTTTCCAATATTAAATGTAGCCCTACATTATTCTCTATTATTCGATTTCTTTTATTCCATTATTTTATTGTACTAAGAAAAAACATTTGTGCGAATATAATACGATCTGTAGAAATACTATCGTCCATTACTGGCTAACTAAATGGTTACATTTTCAATCATATTTCAATTTACGTTAAATAAATACAAGATTTATAAATGACTAATAATATAGTATTTTATAACAATTTAGAGAAAATTAGTACGATATTAAAGTGATTTATTTGATATTAAATGAAATTAAAACATATATGTAGGTAAGAACAATTGGAGCTGTGACAAACGTGTATACTCGAATGCGAGATACTAACCTGAGATCCTTCCTCGGTGCCACCAACTATTCGAAAGCCAAAACCAGTATCTTGTCTGACAAGAGTTACCAAAGTTTCGATCCACTCGATGTCCGGAATTGACGGGCAGATCAATTCATTTCCAACGTCACTACCATATTGTGGATATCTGTAGAAGGAAAAATAAATATATAAATATTCAATTTGAAATGAATTTGCTTTATTAATTTAGTGAAGTTAGGATGTTCACTTTAATAATCGTTCAAACTTGTCTATCAATGATTTATTAAATTTGTTAAAATATAAATAAAATGACGTATCGTAATTGATATTATTTCGTATAAAATACATGATAAAACTTACACGACCCCTTTCACTTATAAGCCTGGATAAAATAATTATTTTTTAAATTCGAGCTTTTTTTTATTGATTTGTCTGAATTATGAAATATATATATATATAAAAAAACAATCGAAAGCTGGGAGTTTATATTCACTCACCCAGGTACGGTAGAGCTCGAGTGCGGCTGCTCGTGTTCAAAACTCGTGCTCTCCTTCCTCTTATCCCAGATTTCGCCTGTGTCGACGTTCTGCTCTTGACCGATCATAGCGCTAAAAGACGAGTAGTCGGCTTGTTCGCCATCAAATGCGGGTGACTGCACCGTGTAGATGTCCTTATAGTAGTCCCCAGCTTGATGTATGCCGTTTTGCTTGGAAAGGTGCAGCTGCATCAGTTGCTGTTGTTGTTGCTGCTGCTGCTGCTGCTGTTGTTGTTGTTGTTGCTGCTGCTGTTGCTGCGATACATCTATCGAGTACATCTCGCTACTATAGTTAAGCTTCTCGTTGTTGGCGGCGAGCCATTCTTCACGCTTCATTGCATCGCGCAGCGTCTCTTCCATATCCAGCCCTTCGTTGCAAAAAATGAATTATTTCGATAATTATGCTTCAAAATCTTAACGTTAAAAAAAAAACATTACTTGTCCATTTTTTATTAAATGAAACTGTTAATATTAAGTTTAATTGCAGAAAAATATATGTTAATTAAAAGTAAAATAAAATAAAACAAAAAGAATGCAAAAGAAAAAAAAATAAATAAAGATGCATTTTTTGGCAATCTTAAATATTGATATGATACTTATATGTACTTCATTGATGAATAAGCTTCAATTTTAGATAAGGAATCGCTTTAAGCGATCGAATGAATAAGAAGAAAAAAAGGAAGTATAATGTTCTCACCCCTGAGATTCATGGTGTTGAAGTTCTCAGTAAGATGAGAGATGTTGGGCTTGTAAGGCATCTCCGAGTAATCATAAATCCCGTGATTAAAATCATGGTTATACTTGTATCGATTATCGAGAACATTCTGCAGCTCGTTTTCATGGTCGATGTTGGACTGCTGTTGGGCTGCGGGTGGAGGTGGCGACCTCGGCTTGATGCGCGTGTCGATGAGAGGCGTCTTTGGCCGTTGGGGTACAACCGTTTTCGTCTGAGTACTGTATATGTCCGCGGTTGGCGTCTTACTACGAAACAAATCGAACGCCGTCTTTTCCTTGTCATCCTTGTGACAATTCTTGTCCTGAAGGGGCGATTTCGGGCACTTGCCAAACGAGCGCTGCACGTAAATCAATGCCTCCTGATCACGGCAACAATCTTTTAATACCTGTCGCATTAAGTTTTCAATATAAATGACCAAATTCTTCTGACCTCGTTATATTTAGCGAATGATTAAAAATATGCTGCTAGATCAGTATTGACTTTATACATCATATTTTTATTCCATAAAAATCTATCGTTTGTCCGAAAATCATACCTGTACAACTTCTGGATGACACATATTCCTAACATTAACGTCGTTGATGTTCACCAGAATGTCACCCTCCATGAGATTCTTGCACCTGTCGTGATCTAGAATTTTCTTAACTTTTTGTCCGTGCGCAGAATCTGCTATCGTAAAGCCAAAGCCGGTGATACCTTTAATTATCGGTATACTAAGAAATTCAGGCGGTTTTGAAGGTACTGGCGAGTGAGCGGTGTCGTGAATACTACAATGAATATTATCTTATTTATTAAGTTAATTAAATATTGAGCTTATTTACAAAATAACCTCCAAGGTATAAATGTAAAAATTACATTCGCCATTAATCTACGTGTTCATTTATCTCGGATTGCCTCGGTAAAGTTACACCGACATGCACGGTACATAATCTTAACAGTCACTTTGACATTTAATGCTTAAGAATAATTATTGTCAATTTATTAAAGTATAGATGTCTTATCTATGATTCCCAAAGTGGACAAAACAAAAACAAAAACAAAAACAAAAACAAAAACAAAAACAAAACAAAAACAAAAAAAAACAAACAAACAAAAAAATCAAAACAAATGAATCAAACAATCAGAAAAATTATCGAATTGAAAGTGACGTCGAAGGAGGAACGATCGGTATATTAACTAATCTTACTGGGAGGAATGCTCGACGAGGGTGTTTGATAAGAGTATGTCGGTACTGCTTGGCCTCTTGATCGTGCCATTCGCGTTGAGCTTCTCCGATATGCAGAGATCGGGCATGGAATTAACAGAGGCTGTTGTAACGAGACTTTCGCCATTCTGTGCCGAGTGTACTGGCAGGAACGATGAATCGAGGAAATCGAATCGCTCGCCCGCGCGCATCCCCGAACGCTCAAGATCCATGTACAGGCTTGACTCCTCGGCTAGGATGTCTGTAAGGCAAATTAAGCATTAGGTGACTGTTTGGCACTTGCGATGAGCTCCGAGTTAATTGTCAGGCGTCGTCAAATACCGGGTGCGTTCACGGCTATGGTGGTGACGACTTCGGTATTGGGATCGTTGGGATCGAAGGGCAGGGGATAGCCTCGGCAGACCTCGAGCGAGACCGTCTCACCGCTGCCGATGGACTTGAATATGTTAACCATCTCGTTGTGAGTGAAGCCCAGCACGCATATGTCGTTCACGTATACCAGCACGTCACCTGCCGAGGAAAATAGAATCTCGTTAAGCCATAACGGCGCAAGCGCTCGAGGCGGGCAAAGAAATTTATACCTGTAAGAAGTTTGCCGTCGATCCAGGCGGGTCCGTTGGGCACGACGCTTTTTATCTGCAGGAACTCTTGGACGCTGTCATCGCCACCCACGATCGTGAAGCCGAGACCCCTCGAGCTCTTAATCAGGCTCGTCCTTATCCGCTGTCCTTTCAGCGCATCCGGATTCCTCGTGAAACTCGGACTCTTATTGCGTTCGCCTAAGGAAGTCTATTAATTGCGAGAAATTAATTGGGTTCGTTGTGAGTTCTTGTTTTCAATGACAAGTAAGTTCAATCACGATGAAAAATACCGAGGACAATTGCTACGAATTGCTTTTATTTTGGAACTTTTATGAGAGTTACATTTAGCCAACCCGATCATCGGATTGCACAATTGAAATTAAGATAAAGGCAGTTCCGTAACTTAATAATGAAATTTGAAAAATGACTAAATAAATTTACCAATAATTATACAATTTGTCACCAATAATTAATCGATTGTCCATTCCCACTGTCCTCTCAGACACAATGATTATCATTTTTACCAAGTATTATGAGATCAATTAAATCGTATCGATGCTAAATACTCGGGTTTCGATTGCCATGTTAAATATTGATTTATATTGTATATAGAGTTGTAAAATATTGCGAGCTTCAATAATAATAGGCCGGGGATAAATTTGAGATGTAGCGCGCAAGTTCCATTACGCCAAAAGAATTTGCTCAAGTGGGCTATGCTCTTGAAATAATAAGAGTAGCATTGCTGCTTTTCGCGAAATTCATCTCCGCTACTCGAGTCAAAGACATTGGGGTGGCATGATAATACGAACCATTGACTGCTGCGCGCGTTTAGCCTGCAGCACTGGATTCTCGTACTGAGTGCGCCTGTTAACGTGATCGATGAAGTACGTTCCGTAGAGATTGTCATCGATCTTCTCCCAGCCGTAAGGCAGCTCATCGTCAAGACACTCCTCGAGGGAGCGTTTTTGAAATTTGGAGAGCCGGGGGTCCAGCCAATGCGAAGTCCCAGTGTTGTGACTATCGGGGCATGCGTTTAACGTCCTTTTGTTACTCGTCATAAATGCATCGTCTCTGCATACATCTTGCAAATCTCGCTACCTCGATCCCGAGTATATCATGACGAATTGAATTTTTTATGCGCGTGCTTATAGGTGACCGTACGGGGTTGGGATCGATTTTAAAAAAGTTTTATTTCAATTAAGTGGGATAAGAATTGGCTTATAAGGATCTGTTTAATTAAAGAGCCGAGCAATATCATCAATTTTTCAATAATACGTCCGGTCCTCGTTGTTCAAGGTCGGAGCTTATCTTAAAATCTACGTCGAAGGTAGTAATATAAGATTGGTTAAACACATGCCGTAAACAGCCAATTAATAATAATAACAACGATTCGTAAAGATGAATTGACAATCACATGATATTTCACGAGTCTGTAAGCTTATTGACGTTTGAGTGCACCTGCACCACACTCGACAAGACAGTTTGATAAATAGATGGCGCCTCGTTATTTTCGAAGGAATCTCAAATTATCTTAATAAGTCGGACGTATTCTATTTAGCGAGAAAAACAAAAACGCATAAAGCTAGAAAATCGTAAGAACGCACTCAATGAAATAAGCTTCGCCAGACTCGGTGTATGCCTTCTCCCAATTGACGGGCAACGGCCCGAGCTGGTCCTCGGTGGCCTGATGATGGTATTCCCGATGCCCGTGGTCCATCCTTCGATGCTCTCCGTCCTCATGACTCCGTCCGTTCTGTTCCGAGCTTGTGCTATACACGTACGTGGGCGGCACTCGATGCTGTTGTTGTTGCTGTTGTTGCTGTTGTTGTTGCTGCTGCTGCTGCTGCTGCTGCTGCTGCTGGGGAGAGCTCTCGGAGCCGTCCAGCGTACTCATGACCACCTGGTTCACGATGTCCACTGTTTAGAAATAAAGTGGCATTACCAATAGTTTCTTTCGTGATTGATAAAATGAAAAAAATTAGCAAAATTTGCAAATCGATAATATCCTTTTCTTTTTAATATTTAATTCATTAGTTTTTTTTTTTTTTTTTGTGATGTCGTGAAATGTTAAGGCAATGGGCAAACCTACAAGACTACATCGATTTATGGAAAATAAAATTGAGCTATCGTTCACGCAAATCTGCAATATAAAATTATAATTAGGGTCTTGAATAATATCCTTTGTAACGATTTTATAAATGTCTTTAATATAAAACTAAGTGAATAGATTTAAAAAAAATTTTATAAAATGTTTAAAATTTACCATTAGTCACAATATGTGATGTATATTGAAATATCTAAAGTTAACGCCGCTCTTGTTTCATTAATTAAATAACGATATTTTGATATCATCCGCTATGTAATTAATGTCAGTAATCATATTCTTATAAGCACTTGTTTATCTCTTGATTTACAAAGAGCTTTAAAAATGCAATATCATGTTTTACCAAATTATTATATTATAAATAACTTATGCTATTTACCCTATTAGTAAAATAAATTTTCCTATTTTACTAAAAACACAGATAAATTTTGTTAAATGGAGTAGAAAAACATTTATAATATTAACCCGTGCATTCTAAACATAAAGAGTCTGATCGACAACTTCAAAGCCTGATGACTCGATTTATTCTTCTTTCCTCGGAATAAAAAAAAAAAGAAAGAAAAAAAAAAAAAAAAAAAAAAAAAAAAAAAAAAAACAATCGATGTTCGATCGTTCGAATAATAAACATTGTAATAGCATTTCAAAATACACGAGGGATCGGCAGCTTTTTGCCTCACAGCACGAACGCCAACAGATAAGAAATCATGGGTAGCGACAGACGTAGGTGTCATCTAGGTGGGCTAGCTTGGGGTCCGCTCACATGAATTATTCGAGAGGTAAAGTAACCGCCGCCGGTAGGATAAGAGCCCTGCGGGACACTAGAACCATAAAAATAGAGATACCGAGTCGGGCACGTAGAATGTTACTTGAAAAGATGGGTGCACTTTGGGAAGCTCCTACGAAGCAGGTACACATTTGTCCACGGGAACGAGTGTGCCTTGAAATTGTCTCTCTACCGAAGGTGAAGCGAATTACAATAGCTTAGAGGAACAAGTTTTCTAATAAAATGAAATATAATGTCGAAGATTAAAGAAAGTTCTGTTCAGAATTTGTTAACTATCCGAACTACCAATGTGCACACACGAAAATATAAAATTGTGATGCAATGGGAGTCCGTTACGATGTATGCGTGAGACTTCCTTCGCGTAATTTGAATTTACATGCTTTTTCGAGACGTTGAAGATTATGATCTCAACTCTGTGGTTAGGTAAGGAGGCGCAAGGTACTTAAAAGCATTTTTTTTTAAATAATTGATCTTCGTTTATTTAAAATGCTAATTTTAAGTGTATGTGAATATTATTATAATATATTTCTGCGAAAACCAAATAAATCACTTATTCTTTCAAGAAACTTAAATAATTATTTAATACATTTTTCGTATATTAAACAATCGCTACGACTTTGGATGATTCCGTGATGAAAATTTAAATAGAAAATGACTTTTCAGGATGTCAATGAAGAGATTCAGAGTGAGAATGGGAAATGAAAGTTTACGTGAGCTCGGATATAAAACCCAACGTGAAAGTATATCAAAGTTTCTTTCTCTCTTTCTCTCTCTCTCTCTCTCTCTCTCTCTCTCTCTCACCCTCTCGATCTATCTATCTCTATCTTACCAACTAGAAAAATGTTAGAAATGTTATAGGTTTTAAATACGAAGATATGCACGAGATAACTGCATTTATAATAATGGTGACATTACGAAAAGAAATTAAACATAAATATAAAGATAATATTTTAAACTACAAATAATATGTTAAAGGTGAATTTTTTAATATACATTTTTCGATTCGAATATATTTTTAATGGCAACCAGAAGTGCAACGTAACAATAGCAGTATATTGATACATAAATCTGAATAAACGTCAATGTATAATGTAAATGTGAGATTAGGTTCTAGATATAGGAAATATATGATCAGATTGAAGAAGCACCTCATACTTTAAGAGAGTATTAAAAATGACAATAGCTTTTTAAAAAAGTAATGCATAAAGTGACGTTATACTTAAATAATCAGCTTCGATAATAGAAGAGAATAGACAGTAATGAAGTATCATTTTATTAAAAATTCGATGTCGATGACAATCACTTGGCTATGGAGTAGATTTAAAACAATAATAATCAGTTAAATAGCAATGCAAAGAAAAACAATTTCAAAAGATAAATGTAAGTACGGACATTAATTATAAAACGATAGCAATAAACTGCAGTCATGGCTTTTTATCGTATAAAGATATCTTTAGTAAATGAAAAAACTATTTTCAAATACGATTCATCGAGTCATTAAGTATAGCAATTATATATAAAGATGAACTGAATAAATAAGAGCCTAATTTAATTAAAATATTCGTTAAAATTATAAAAGTAAAAAATAACTAACTTCGTGAATCAACGACTATTTGCTATTAAATAAAATATTTTTTCACACGATGGATTAATATTATTGAAATAAAAATGAATTAGAGATTAAATTAGAATATCCTTTCACTACTTTTCACATATTACAGTTTTATGTAATATTTTATACGTAAAATGCATATCCGTATGCATACTTAAAAACATTATTCGACATAATAAGCAACAAAAATATGATGCATCACATTGATATATTATAAAATATTAGTATAACCAATAATAATAAAATACCAATAATTTAATAATTTAACAATAATTACTATAAGACACAATTACGATACAAGTATTGAAAGATGCAATTGAATTGTATATAATATAAATAAAAATTTAATTTAAACATTACAGATTCAAATACAACGATATGTTATCTTTTCTCTTGTTCACATTACATGTAGAATATCATTCTGTTATCAAAAGAAAAATGAGACAGCATTATAAAAGCGTATAAATTCAATACTAACGTACTCGAATAATTTATACTTCGTACAAAATAGTAAAAGAACCACAATTGGAATGGTAATTGTTTAAAGATAACTGAAAGAAAATAGAAGGTATGATCATTTAATGATTAAAGTTAGTTTGTGAAAATATAAACATAAAATTTGGTTAGAATTATTAATAATATAAATGTCTGTAAATATTTCACTATCTTTATCACGATCATAAAATTTTACAGTGATGTAGAGTAATTTAGAATTTAAAATTTCAATGATAAATCTCAGTAATATTAGTTACTAATTACGTACTTTAAAGGCTACAATTTATAATGAACGTATAAAGAATATTTGTATATAGATATGATCGTAAAGGAGAAAAAGAAGTTTAAACAAAAAAAGTAAAATGCTAAAGAGTTGCATGAAACTTGTAATTGCAAGACAACATAGGATTATCTTTGCACTTCAATGATTAAATAAATTACGGTGATTGAGATAAAAATAGTATATAACTAAAATTGGAATAAAATAAATGAGATTATAGTTTTATAAAAGTACGACAATCTTAGACTATGGATAAATTAAAATTTAATTTAAGACAATTGGAGTATGAGGAAAAATATGCAAATGAATTTTACAAAAAGTAAAAAGATTTTAAATGTTTTAATATGGTCGAAATAAAGTAATTCAACATTCTACTACCAGATTCGCATCAAAAGAATTAAATGTTTAAAATTAGTAGATTTGTCAAACTTGGCTAACAATTTAGAGATAGGTCGACAATATTGTATTTTCTTTTTTCTAATGTGCAATATTTTATGTAACTTTGTAAAATTAAAAAAATATACAGTTACCGTAATGGTTATTAATTATAGAATTAATAGACTAGTACCTGTATGTTATTGTAAATCCTATTTTCATCATTATATCCTATAAATTACTATCCAAGTATCGTAATAGTTATAAACACTACGACTGCTTGCAATGAGTAATTTAAAATTCTTACTTCGAAACATTTGCTTCTTTAAATTATAATTTTGAAATATGTTCCAATATTTTTCAAATCCATTCAATTAGCTGTAGAATTTAAAACAGCAAAGTAAAAATAATTATAATAATAATAAAATTCTATGAAATATAGCTAAGTGTTTAACCAGTAAACAATTCAAACTAATCTTACGAATCGTTCAAGTTAAATTACCTATAATTACTCATAATTACCGTTCTACTCAATTATAATCTTAATAATATAATTATTATATACTTGTCTCAAGTCGGCGGCGATTAATTTATTAATTAATATAACGTTACTGTTAACCGAATCTGTACAAACTAAAAAATAATAAACAGATCACTCAGCTTCTTCATTATAACTCTATGTAACAAATAGCTTTTAAATTCATAAAAAGGTACGAGTCACGGGTATAAATACAATTAAAAAAAATATAATGAAATTTAAACTGAATATCTCACCGTCATTTGGGTCGTCCATTGATGCTGAGTTATCGGACTTCGAGGCCATACTATTGAAACCTCCATTCATTTTTCATCTTCAAATTGCAAGTCCTGTAATCAAGTAATGAGTAAATAATTTTCATACTAATATGCAATCACGCATATTCATATTTGAAATAATAAAATTTTGTTACAATTGCTTAAAATTTTAAACATTAACGATCAAAAAGGTTTAGAAGATGTTGCGACCACAATAATAAATTTTACACGATAATGGTATAATTGCCATTTATCGAGGGTGTGACAAAACAACTTTAAACAAATTCAATCAAAAAATCGTATAATAATTGTATGCCAACGATATATTTATATATAGGCTATGTAATATTATAGAACCATTATTGGACGCTAAATTATCGATATACAACAAACATTTAAACATTTATTGGTTAGATAAAAGGGACATGTACAAAAATAACATCATTTACGATGTATCAAGATATTAA